TGGCTGTGTTCAAATTTTGTGCAGATTGTCTGAAGCCTGTAGTGAAATTGTAGCGAAAATTATCGCTGTAACTACACAAAAATGTATAGGTGCTACAGCTATTAGCTTCATTTCATAAAACTGTAGCGGCTACAGCTATTAGCTACAAAAATTTGTAGTTAGCTACAAAAAGTAGTGCGCTACTTAGCTACTCCCCCATCCCTGTCTACTACACCACAAACCATGTATGGAATTATGACTATGGACTTCCATGGTAAAGTGATCCCACCCCCATTTAGGGCTGAAAGCTAAGTGAAAAGACTAAAAGCTGCTTTTAGAAACGTATCAGTCGACTCAACTTTTCACACTGTCTGCTATTGATAGTAGAGCACACTAATCACAAGTGACCTTTTTTCATTTTGAGTCACACTGGATGATTATTTTCTCATGTGCAATACCACAGCTACTTATTTAAGTAATGGTTTGGCAAAAAATCACTTTCACACAGTTTTCCCCTCATCTCAAACATAATCAATCTGCCAAGACATGTTTGGTGTCTGAAGTTTGCTTTTTTACTTTTGCACTTGACTTATGAGGCAAATGTAGTGAAAATCTGTCACCCAAAAAGACATAAGACATGTCTCAAAGTGAAAGCAGCAGCCAAGCCCTTGATAGCACTGGTATACAAAGGCTCCTCTCGGGATGGCCTGACCAGACTGTACTGATAAATCACAGCTTGACGTAAGCAATGCGACACATTTACAAAAACATTATATTCTATTTTACATTTCATGACAAACTCAGCTGCTGAAGCATCTTGCCACTCACAGCTGTTTCTTAGTAGCTTTGGAAGGATTCTACAAAATGGGCCAGACTTCGGTGACTAGTGATGGGGAGTTGATTCCAAAAGAGTCGATTTTTGACCCCAACATGTCTGCAACACAAAGGTCAACTTTTGGCTAATGACCCCACAAGTCAAAATGCTTAGAGTCATTTTTTTTTTTTTGTCTTTATCGCAATGGGCTTGAAGGACATTTTGATGGAGGCATTTGTAATACAGGAAGGAGTTTGACTAGTGTGAGTTTGTTTAATTACCAGGCTTTTTGATATGCCAACACTGCTTGCCAGCCTCTGAAAGCACATGATTGGGGTTGCAATAAAAAAATTAGAAACCTTACAAGGAATCCAAAGCCAAAAATAAACAATATTTTTCACGAAACATTGTGGAAAGGAAGATGAAGCTGAAGTTGGCTTCTTATTCTCCAGCTTCTTATTCAAAACGTATTTATATATACTGATTTGTATATATACTGAGTATTTACAGTCTATAGAGATAAGATGAAAAGTCTTAGATTATACCAGGCAATATCAGGTAGCTTGGCAAACGATTACAGCTTACTAATGTTTTAACACATTTTACCATCAGCCTATTTCACATAATGAGGCTGCTGAAAAGAGCTTCATGTCAAGCAGGCCACAGGACAATGGAAAATTCATACAAAGAAAATCATTATTGTAGTCATAATTCTGTGAAAATGAACCATTATTAACCAATTAAAAGTAAAGTTTTCATTTTGGAGCAGATGTTATTCCTCTTTTTCTTATTTGAAATTTTCTTTTCCACCTTACATAATGCAGCTTTAACTTTAATGGTGCTACTCAAAAAAAATGGAAAAGGCCAAACATAGGATGGTTTAATCTCTGCCATATTTCCTTATGACCAGTCCTGTCACTATTTTAATAAAATTAAGTATGGAGAAGTTGACTTCATAGACTCTAGAAAACCAGTTTCCTACTTCCCTGTATGGCCCTGAAGTCTCTTGTCAAGAGGCACACGCAATCTCAGGTTTGGTGTCTCTCCTCTGTGATGGTCCGTTTGCTCTTTATTGCATTGCAGAGGGGCCTCAGTCCTCTGATTGGTCTTCTCCCAGACTCTCTCGCTCTGTTGCATCCATGTGTCAACTGCTGTAACATCTGTGGTCATGCCTGTCAGGCGCATGGGGGTTGATATGCCAACACCAATTGGAATGGGGTTAGTCCTAATGAGCGAGTTTTAGGCTATCTTGGCCCATAGGAGGAATCGTGACCAGTCTGTGGGGACTGTTGTAGCAAAACATTCTAAGAAATTTTCTTAATTCTTGATTAACGTCTTCGCATTGGCCATTGGATTAGGGATGATATCCAGATGTCAAGCTGATTGTGACCCCCACATGTTCAAAGAATGCAGACTAGACTTGGGAGGTAAACTGTGGGCCTCTCTCAGATAAAATGTCCTCAGGAATACCGAAGTAACAAAATACTTGATTGAAAACGATCTCAGCAGTTTGAAATGCGGTAGGGAGAGAAGAAATGGAATGAACCTGATGCTACGTTGTCTATATTCATAAGACTTGTAGTAAACCCTAGCGATTCAGGCAGATGGGTGACGAAGTCGTTTGCAATGTGGGACCAGGGTTGATTAGGTACTGGTAAGGGGACGAGTTTTCCGGCTTAGGAGTTTTTCAGTCTTAGGAGTTTTACATTGTGAATAGATGGAACATGAGGCGACAAAAGACTGAATGTCTTTGTTCATCGTCTCCCACCAATATTGGTTGGACAACAACTACTGCATACGTGTCTCCCTTGGGTGGCCAGGCGAAAGAGAGCGGTGATTGGAGCAAGATGGAGTGCTGAGAATCATGTGATCTCCCCTGGAAATGGAGTCCCTAGAGACCTCTGAGCCTGAGGCATGTGTGACAGATACATTCTGGAGAAAGAACTGCCCCTATCCCAGTCTCTGAAGCATCTACTTTTACGACAAAAGGTTGGGAAGGATCAGGATGTTTTAAAACAGGAGCTGTGGTAAATGCTTCTTCAAGTGTTTGAAAAGCTTTCTCAGACTGCTCTGCCCAGGTAAGTTTTCTCGGGTTATTTTTAAGTAGTGTGGTAAAGGAAGCGACAATTCTGCTAAAGTCACCCTAAGAATCTTTGAAGCTCCTTTACAGAAGTTGGAGTGGGCCAGTTTACTACTGTGTCTACTTTTTGGTCATCCATATCCACCCCTTTAGAATTAATGACATATCCCAGAAAAGCTACAGGCTACAGAAGAAATTTACATTTTTCTCCCTTCACAAACAGATTATTCTCCAGGAGTCACTTCAGGACAGAACAAACATGCTCAACAGGCAGCCACTCTTAATGGGGTTTTCAGGTCTTCCACGGGGATGTGCAGTTGTTCCACAAAACAAGAATAGATGAAGTTTTCCTTAGCACCAGAATTTATAAGGGCTGAAACAACAAGAGAGACCTGATGACAACAGACAACTGCTGGTAACTGAAAAAATTTAGAAACCAACCCCTTTGTGGGAACACTTACCACATTAGCATATTATTTCCAGGGGTCGGCACCAAACATTTGAGTGGATGGGTCCTGCAGTCATTGAGATGACCAGCACCGCCACAATACAAACACAGGTTCTCTCTTAATCACCAGAACCTTTCCTCCTTAGACAAAGGTGACGAATCATACTGCATGGGCTCCTCAAAGTCTTTGTGCTCAGTGAGGTCACGTGGTGTCCTTGATCTCGCTACGATTTTCTGAAGTTGGTCAGTCTTTCGTGTACCGCAATCCTGAATAAGTTGATCCAAGCAGACGGACAGAGTGATCAGTTGATCTAAAGTCAGATCATCGTCTCTACAGGCCAGTTCAGTCAGGACCTCCTGGTTAAGTCCCTGGCAATACATCACATGCAGAGCCACCTTGTTCCATCCGCTGCTTACTGCCAGCATGCGGAATTCCAGTGTGTAATCAGCCACTGATCGATTACATTGACGTAATTTGATTAATAGTTCACCACTTATCTTGCCTTCAAAAAACAATTCGGAATTCTTTCAAAAACTGAGAGCATGATAGATTGTGGACACATGACCAGCTCGCAGTAGGCCATTCTAGTGCTCCATCTGATAAACGAGAAACCAAAAAAGAAGTTTTGGCTTGATCGGGAGAGTTATAAAAAAAAAATAGAGCATTGCAGGAGAAACCCGCAACATTTATCTGGGTTTCCATAGAATTTGTCAGGCTTACTCACTGGAAACAGAGCATTCAGCGCTTCCACTTGGGGTGGAGAGCTGGTGGGGTTTTCTTCCGGTTTGGAAGTAGTTAAGGTCTGAAGTTTGTTGGCTAGACCTTTCACACTCACCACGAGCTGTATCAGCTGGCTTTGTTGCTCGGCCTGTTGTTGTGCCAAAGCCTCAAGTGAATGAGACACCCCTGCTAACATTTGCTGATGAAGGTCCAATAAATGACACTGCTCAGCAAGAGCTTTCTGTAAAGCCTCCAAGTCTACCGTCTGCAGTGGTGGTGAGGTATTCTGTGTTGTGACAGAATGACTCAGACGTACAGGGATAAAAAAAGGCAAAAAAGGCTTTACTGTTTGAATCGTTATCCAGAATCGTGGTCAGGAAACAGGCACAGGTCAAATCCAGAAAGGGCAGCAAGTACAAACACACAAATATTACACAAGGCAAAATCAGTCCAAAAGGCGTCAGGCAAAAGGGAAAAGTCAAAATACAGAAGATCAGTCAGAATCGGCTACAGACAACCATTACTTTTTAGCTACAGATGGGTGACAAATTATTATTAGGGAATGGATGGCATGAGCTTCAGTCACGAAGACTGCTCAACTGGCTAGTGTTTCAATAAATGACTAGAGTGACATCTGTATTTAGATATAAAAGAAAAAGACATCCGTAAATATTTGGAAATTGTATTCCAGTAGGGTACAGTCAGTGACCGTGATGTTAGTGCGTTACTGTGATAGGTAAGGAAATACATAAGAGCAACTGTTCCTCAATTGACTGAGATTATTGGCACAGGACAGCAATTCTTTTTCATTAAATTTCCTTTTTAATTTAATTTGGCCATTGAACCTTTGTATATTTAAGATTAATAGGTGATCTTTGGTCCACTACACAAAAATTCTAAATGTGAAGAAATTAAACTTAAAGGAGGAAATAATGCTGCACATTCTTAGTTACAGTCTTAGTTTTATTTTTTATAATTGATGGTGTGATTCAGACATCTTTAAAACAGGTCTTTTATGACATTCAGAATGCATGCAAGAGTTAGGTTCCTATAATATGTTGTTTTTGTAATTACAAATAAACAACATGATTGTCAGCATCAGTAAGCAGCCATGTGTCAGTTTTTGTTACATAAAAAAAACATGAATCTTAAAAAAGTTACTAAACAAATAAATTCTGACCAAATCAAAAACAAATGATTTATAAATCAAGCTGAATTCTTTTTTTACAATGACATGCAATTAAAGATCACAAGAGCTTCTGAGCTTCTCTACTGTCATTGATCAGTGCAACAGTAAACATGCGTGTTTTGGTTAATAGTACATCCTGATGTTGAAAATTAAAATGTCAAAACCTAAGAGGAAAACTTTCATCTTGACAAAACACTTGTTAGTATGTGTTTGTGAAGCATAACCCAAATTTTCAGGCCAGAACATGCCCCTCACTGCCAGCTGTCATAGGGGGCACTAATGTCTGTTGCAAGTGCCAAAAAACCCTGTGTAGAAAAAAGAAATTTCATTCAGCATCATAAAATATGTGTGTTGAAGAGATTCAATATAAACATCTAAGCATCATTTTTTTCAAACATCAAAAACCAACAGTGTTTTGTAGATATTGTAAATGTGCTTTCTAAATTCCTTAACATATGCTGTGGTCAAAACAGTTGGGACAGACAGAAGTGTGAATTTGTTCAGCTTATTCTATATGATGCTGCTGATAGCTGATGGGTATCTAATTGACTTCACATATTCTTATCTAGAAATGTGAACTAAGCTAGCTGTGGCTTTTCTGTTAGTTTTTAAACGTGTGGGACTTCATGGGCTTCTAACTCACTCACTCACAAATTTTACAGGCTGAGAATTTGCCACAGGGAGGCACTACCAGCACTCAAGTAGCCTTTGATGCTTTATTAGAGTGGTGTTTCACATGACCGACACTGTGTGTCGTTATTCCCAAAACATTTTTTTCCCTTTTTTTAAATGTATTAATACTATTATGTTGATGATGTGAAAATGGCCAGAACTCTGCAGGACATAAGCTTAACCCTTGTGTGGCATTGATGTTTTTGTTACTCAGTGGTCTGGTGGACCCGCCGCATTATTGTTTTTTTTTTTTAAATCAATACAGCCATAACAATTTATATAAAAATACCACATGTTTACAATATCACAAGTGGCCAGCGTAGGGTTCCCCTTTAGCAGCTGTAGCCAGTCAGCAGCCTGTCCATGTGGTCCACCATCACACACACACACACACACACACACATATACAAACATATACACACACAGACACACACACTAACAGCACTCCATGTAGGAGGAGAACAGAGTGAAGGGACACAGCACCTCCACACTTTTATTCCCCACTGGTTCACCCCAACACCACATGTGTAATATAAATATGTAGGGGGGGTGTACAGTGTGAAGACAAAATGTCTTGTGTGTGAAAGTGTGTTATTTTATATATGTTTCACAGAAAATGAGCAAATGCCAAGGAATCTGAGGTTGAAATAATAATAAATTGCATGATTTTTTTCTTCTTGTAAACACTGAGCACTGGCATCACACAAGGGTTAATGGGAGCAATACATATTTAAATTTCTTAGAATTTCTACTTAGGCATAAAGTTGAATGCAAAAGTTTGAACACCCCTGGTCAAATGACATGCTTTATTTATAGTGAAAATAAGTTAACACATGGTCTGCAGAGATCAAAACAGCATTTTACAATTTTTAGTGCACAATTAATGTTTATTTGCTGAATTCAACATATCGGAAAATATAAAACATTAAATGTGCCTTAACTTTTGCACAGACCATATTTTGTGTTTTGTTTTCCCCAGTATGTTAAAATCAGCAAATAACAGTAATTGTGCATTAAAATGTGCATGTGTGTTCACTGTAGAGAATGTGTAACTTTTTTTAAAATAAACTTTAGTAAGCCATTTTACTTGACTTTTACGTTACGTCCTCTTTAGTAAAAAAAAATAACAAAAACGTTTCTCAGATATTTGTTACTGCACAACACTGCATACCATATTTTACTCACATTTTCAATGGTCATCACCGAATTTCTGAGGCCAAAACCCTTCACACGTGGCAACGGAAGGCCATCTTTTAGTTGGGCTGAAATAGAAGAGTGTTGGTTATATACATGTGGAATTAGATCATAATCAGTTTTAAGTGACATTTCCTAATGCAAGCAAGATTGCTACAATTAAACATTGATTTTGTGAATGTTATGCAGTTGTGTGGAGGAATGCTTCCTACCATTCAACTTTGGAAGTACAAAGCTGCTCATTGTTAACTTCAATGCTTGCTTAATGGGGCCAACCTAAAGTGAAAAAAACATCATGTTATAACAATAACATAGGATAGGTTGTAGTTTCAATTTATTTTTTGAATATTTGAATAATTGATATTTCTGAACGCTTACTGGGAAACAACCAATCTCAGTTGCTCCAAGTGTCACGGTCAAACTTCAGCCATTGAAGAAATATAAGAACATATAATATGATTATATATATAAGATTATATAATATGTCAATAAAATACATTACAAAAGATAATACAGATCAAATGCAGACAGTAGCCACCTACTTTTTCATTTCCAAAACTCCCTTCAGCAGGTATTTGTCAATGTAGGCTTTGCCACTGAATGAGCTTTCCTTAAAGAGGAGACAGGAAATTAGAGCCAATGAATTATAAACAATGAATGTTAATATGAGTGAACTGTAAAGTGAAAAAAGAGAGTTAAAAAAGTTAAATCCAATATTCAGTACTCTTTAAAAAAAAATCAGCTGCATGTACAACCCCATTTCCAAAAAAGTCTGGACGCTGTGCAAAATGTAAATAAAAACAAAATTCAATGATGAGTAAATCATTTAAGCCCTATATTTCATTAAAAATAGTACAAAGACAAAATATCTAATGTTGAAACTGAGAAATGTTATTGTTTATTGAAAAATATATGCCCATTTTGAATTTGATGTCAACAACACGTTGCAAAAATGTTGGGATGGGGGCATGTTTACCACTGTGTTTTATCACCTCTTCTTTTAACAACACTCTGTAAGTGTTTGGAGAGTGAGGAGACCAACTGCTGTAGTTTTCAAAGTGAAATGTTTTCCCATTCTTGTTTGATATAGGATTTCAGCTGCTTAACGGTTTAGCGTCTCCTTTGTCATATTTTTATTTTCATAATGTTTTCAGTGGTGACAGGTCTGGACTGCATGCAGGCCAGTTTAGCACCTGAACTCTTTTAATATGGAGCAATGCTGTTGTAATACATGCAGAATGTGGTTTGACAATGTCTTGCTGAAATAAGCAAGGCCTTCCCTGAAAAAGACGTGGTCTGGATGGAAGCATATGTTGCTAAAACATGCATATAACGTTCAGCATTAATAGCAACTTTACATATGTGCTAGTCACTTATGCCATGTGCACTAATGCACCCCTACACCATCATGAATACTGGCTTTTGAACTGTGCGCAGATAACAAGTTGAGTGGGCCCGGAGGAAGCAGTGTCCATGATTTCCAAAAAGAATTTCAAATGTTGATTTGTCAGACCACAGGACACTTTTCCACTTGCACTCAGTCCATTTTAAATGAGCTCAGAGCTCAGGCCCAGAGAAGGTGGCGGCATTCCTGCATCCTGTTTATATATGTTTTTTTCGCTGTGTTTAAGACTTTTAATTAGCATTTGTGGATGATGCGCTGAACTGTGTTCACAGACAATGGTTTTCAGAAGTGTTTCTGAGCCCATGCAATGATTTCCACTACAGAATCATCTCTGTTTTTAATGCAGTGCCATCTGAAGGCCCAAAGATTACAGCCAACAAATACTGGTTTTTGGCCTTGTCCCCTGCATACAGAGATTTCTCCAGATTCTCTGAATCTTTTAATGTTATTATGTACTGTAGGTGATTAAAAGCAAAGGTTCTTTGCTCTTTTATGTTGAGAAACTTTATTCCTGAATTGTTGCACTATTTGATTATGCATTCTTTCACAGAGTGGTGAACCCCTCCTCATCTTTACTTCTGAAAGACTCAGCCTCTCTGGGATGCTCATTTTATACCCAATCATGTTATTGACCTGTTGCCAATTAACCACCAGTTATTTTTAAGCATTACGCAACTTTGCCAGCCTTTTGTTGCCCCCATCCCAACTTTTTTGGGATATGTTGCTGGCATGAAACTCAAACATTTCTCAGTTTCAACATTAGATATTTTGTCTTTGAAGCATTTTCAATGAAATATAGGGTTTAAATGATTTGCACATCATTGAATTTTGTTTTTATTTCGATTTTACCCAGCACCCCAACTTGTGGGGTTATAAATAAACAATACATATAATGTATGTTAACACTGCTGCTGTTAATTTACAGAAATAAAATGGACATTAACTAGTTGTAACTACAAGCTGAACGACAGTAAAAGACAGTATTTCTAAGAAATAAAATGACAGGTTTTTACCATCACTTGGCAAGCATATTTTTTACTCCATCTAGCATGTACCTAGAGCTTTGTCACTTTACAGACTGTCTACATACACAAAAAGCTGTACAACACACTAAAGAAAAGGGAAAAATGGAAAAGTGTAATAGGTCCCCTTTAAAGTATTTTCACTTCAAAAATTAACGGCATGTAATTCGACCAGGGGCGCCCAAACTTTTGCATACTACTGAATTTAAGATTTGTTCAGTTCAGCTTAGTTGAATTTTTTTTTCTTTTTTGGAAAGTAAAAAAATCAAATACTGTGCAGTTTCACTGATTTTGAATTGAATTATTTTCTGATTCTTATTTTTTTGTTCAGACAGATCTAACTCCATGATACAATTAAGCAGTTAACATCCTACAGTGACGAAAATGGTACACTGGCTTTCCTTGATTCAAATGTGTACATCGGTTCCACATGAATAAAATACATCAATTAAATTCTTGCAAAAAGTGAGTAAACTGAAAGAAAATCTGTGTCAGTGTAATATATTTTATTCACGTGGAACCGATGTACACCTTTGAATCAAGTAAATTCAGTGCAGTTTTTTCAGTGTACCATGTTCTGTGGCAAGTATGAAAATGAGCAGGACCAGGTGACCTGGATGTTGGATTAAGATGGCAAGAGGAAAAGATCTATGTGAAAGAGGGTTCATTGTTGGGCCACTGATGGCATATTTCTGCATTTAGATCTGTGGGACAGACATTAATAAATAGGGTTGGAAATTGTGGTTGAAAGCACATATTCGATGTCTATGATTCTCATGCCTTAGTGTGGTATGTAAGGAAGAAACAGAAGAGCAACTGTAACTCATGTGACTGACAAATTTCCATGCAGGACATAATCAGAATGTGTCAGCAACAGTGCATCTACAACTACTTGGATTTGAAAATAAGTGAACACATCCTCTACACAGAACATACATCTGCACATTTCAATGCACAGTTACTATTTATTTACTGAATTAAACCTATTGGAGAAAAAAAAAATGGCACATTTTATATATTTATATTTTTACATCACTTTTAAGTTTGTTTCCTGTAGAGGATGTGGTTACTTAGGTTCACTAAAAAACTCAACAAAATATTGCTGACTGGGGGTATTCAAACTTATACATCTGATGGTATATAAAGAAGGGTATTAAAATAGGGCTGCAGTGCTTAAACCCTTCATTATCAAGATGAATGCACATTTGAGAGGTCAGTGGTATAAAAAGTATAAGCAGTGGTCTACAGTGATCTGGTCCGATCCTTCGCCATATTCTCCACATGTAAGAGAGTGCATACGCAGCAAATACAAATGCAAGAGAATGGTACAGGCGTGAATGCTTGACCTCTATATTGAGGGGATCCAGTGGCTCTGTTATGCTGTGTGTCACTGTAAATCAATACATAGTTACTTCAAACAATTGTCCATATCCTATCATGAGAGTGGTCTCATCCAAGATGACAGTTCACCCCTTCACAGGCCACAAGGCATTATTTACTGACTTGATGAGAATGAAAATGATGTAAATTGAATGAAATTGCCTTGCAGTCACCAGATCCCATCCCAATTCATCACCCAGGGCAACTTTTGACCAACATGTGAGACAGTGCTGCCTTCCACCATCATCAAAACACCAACTGAGGGAATATCTTTTGGAAGAATGGTGGTCCATCAATCCAGCACAATTCCAGAGATTTGTAAAATCTACTCCAATTTACAATAAAGCTGTTCTGGCAGCTCACACGCCCTTCGTGGTGTTTTTTCTGGCATATCTACTATCCACCAGATAGGTTTTATACAGGGGCCAGATGTGACAATGAGGTAACAGCACTCACCACATCCAGTCTGAAGAGAGGTATTGCAACAGAATCTGCTTTCATGGCATAGGCTTTGGCTGAAGCTGACACATTGACATTTATCACTGTTTTATTAAAGGAAAACAGCGGAGCCTCACTGGCATACAGCAGCAGCTGCATTGGTAGGTCTGGATATTTCTTAGGGAGCTACAGAAAAAAACAAGGAAAAGCTCAGTGGCAGATCAGTTGACTAGATAACCATATTTCACTGAAATGACACTTGCATTTGATCATGCTAGTAAAAAGTTAAATTAGCTTTTACGTTATGAGTCCATGTAAATTCACTGCATTATCTACTGTCAATGCTTTCTATTAGCTGTTCTGGATAACAATATAAAAACAAACCTGAGGAATCAGTTGTCCAAACTGGCTTGTGTTCAGGTGGAAGGGAGAGGCCTTGGGGATCTACAAATTACATTTGCGATGAATAAGTTAACATATACTTTTTGTGTTTCGTGTTAAGTAATGATAGGTTCCTAATATATTATGTTTCAAGAATATATCCTCACCATATCGTCTGTGATGCGTATTTGCAATGCTCCAGCACTCTGATAGGCATACGCTGCTGAGTTTACGAAAAACTCAGAGGCACCCAGTGACACCATGTAATCCTCTCGCCATGGCACCTCAAAATGTTTGGGGGAAAATGGTGGTTCCGAGGGAAAATTATTGCTGTAAAACTCACCCTGTTACAACAAAGAAAGTACAGGGCACAAAACTTTCATCATGGGGATATTCATCACAAAATCATCATTTTGATGAGTACAGTTGTATGCAAAAGCTTGAACACCTTACTCAAATGGAATGCTTTCTGAGTGAAAACAAGTACACATCCTCTATAGGGAACAAACGTGAACTTTTTTCTGTGGGTTTTAGTGCACATTTCTATGTATTTGCTGAATTTAACGTATTTTTATAGCTCATTCTGCTCATGATTATCAGGAGTGACAACGTACTTGTTATAACATTTTTTGTAGTGTTAGCGCCACACAACCGTGAGGCATCTAGGAACCAATCACATACCAATTGAAAGAGGGGGTCATAGAGTTTCTGACTATCACCGGAAGATGGTTCCCCTCAGTCTGTGAGGAGATGGCGACCCCTGAGCAGAAAGCGTTTTGTGTTCTCCATTTCAATAAGAGTGAATCAGTCATAACTGTGCAATGTGATTACCATCTGTAGTGAACCTCCAACAGCAAACTCCTTACATAATAAACTGTATTCTCACTTAAACCATTTACAATTATATATATATATATATATATATATGTGTGTGTGTGTGTGTGTGTTTATATAGGAATGGTCTCAGATCTTTTGCTATGTGTTCTCCAGTCTCATTAAGTGTTATAAGAGAAGACTCAGGGCGGTTATTTTTGCAATAGGAGGTGGCACAAAGTATTAATTGAAGGGGTGCCAATGATTGGGGCACATATAGATTTGAGAAAAACTGAAATTTATTTTCAATCATTGTACTTCAAATTGAGGTTAGAGTTTTGTTAAGATTTTGAATAAAAGATCAAAGGATAAACAATAAAGAATATTTTTTACAGCCTGTTTTACTCATGTTCACTCAGCATAATTAACTCATCATCATTTTCAAACACTGTAACTGTTTAGTTCATTGAGTTTTCCATGAGGTTGTTTTCTCATATACTTTAGGTCAGTTTGCAGGCTATGTGGCATGATATCAAAAATGAAATGTATATAAGAGAATGTCATACTTTTACGTTCAATCCAAGTCCACTGTCGTTAACAAGAGGCGAGTCTGTCAAAGAAATATTCAGGTATACATACGGATCCACCTTCATGGCAACTGTAAAAAAAAAAAAGGCCTCAATCACGTGTTGCATTGTCATTTTTATAGCTGGCATGCCAACATGAATATTTCACTGTATATGAAATAATTTAGAAATACTGCATGCAATATTCATAGGATACCTGCTTTTTTATATACTGCATTACTGAAAGTTTATGACAGAAACTCAACATTGCAACAAAGTAAGTAAAGTCCAGAAACCCACAATAAATGCATAATAAAAGTGTCTCTAATATGCTAAGATTCAGAGGTTCATTGTTAAGTGCTGGATAGAAAAAGGGGTTACATTCTTCAATCATCTAGTGGAAAATTGGCCTATTATGGATTATTTTACTTCATGGTATCAAGGTAGATATAGCTAAGCACGCTCTCCAGTTGGTTAGGACTTCAAGAGCTAAAGAGAATGCCTAATGTGTTATATTAATCATCAGCATGGACTCATATAACAGAAGAATAACAGAAGAACTTAAAATTTTGCTTACAAAAATGGATCAGTTTGTGTTGTTCATAAGATAAAACATATAAAACTATATTGGGTTTTTGTACCATTTTTAATATAAAACAGATCAAAATTTCCTAGTCACTGCTTTCTGTTTTTAATAGCCATTTACATGATGCCCTAACTTTTTGGAAATCGGCTTTGTATTAATTTGTGGTGTCTGAGTACATTTTTTTAATCAATCTTGTTGTTTTAGACATAGTCTCAATTGGGCTTCTTATTATGAATACATAACGTCTTTGTCCATATTTATAAGTACAATGTTAAAAGATATTATGTGTGCAAATTTGAAGTAAGCAAAAATGTCTGAGGACTAGCTTCCCCTCACGGTAGAAGACAGCTATATAAGAAAATGAGAAAAGTCTCACAATGATTCAAACAGGGTTTAACTGGTTAACTATATTAAAAGAAGATCTTCTTTGGAATATTTCTTTCCTCTAGGAGGTTTCCCACCCTGGTAATGGAGTACCACCAATCACTTTGTTTTTTTCAGCTCCTAACACACCTGATCCAATGAGTCAGCTAATTGACAAGCCCTTACTGAGATAAAGCAGGTGACTAAAGGTAGGAAAATTCTACTTTAATTACTGATAATATTTAGTTGAAATACCAGACACTGCAGCTAGATGACTCTCTAGAGCTTCAATTTCTTTTTCAAATGTTTGGCAAATCTAGAAGAGAAAAAGAGAAGTAATATCATTATTGACAGTTGGGTGCTTCCACATGCAACAAATTATCTGTTGGAACCAAAAGTTATCTACCTTTGCACGGATCTTGTTTCTGATGCGCTTGTTAAACATTTTTACAAATGGCTGGAAAATAAAACTGAAAAAAGGATAAGAAATATGTTTTTACAGCACAAGTAGAGCACAGAGCTAAATAATATATTTGATAAACTAAGAAATTGCAGTATTAAAGTCCATAGCACTATTAAAAATATCTTTGAAAGTCATCAGTTCAAAGAGTCTACGTCAGAATCATGTCATGTTCACATCTTTGTCCCCCTGAGTGTGCACAGATTCAGTTCCTAAATTGCAAATAATAAAACACTGGTGAATGACAGAATCTTCGTAAAAACTGTGTAACTGGGTTTTATTAATAAATTTCTTCTTCAGAACAGTTGGTGAATGAGGCCCATTGGCTTGTTTACTTCCATGTAAGATACATTTTTTTTATTATTGAAACAGCAGTAGAAACCTTTTAATTAACCTTTCCTGCTACTTACTAAACCACAAATATCATTCTTCCTTAACCACGTACTCTTAAAAGAGATGGTCCTTCAAGGGTTTAGTAAAGACATTGGGCCTCGTTTCAAATTATGAAATTTCTTCATAAAACCCACTTACGCAGTTTCCACGAAGATATTCATATCCACTAATGTTATCTTATTTGTTCTTAGGTAAGAACAGAATCTATGCACACCCAAGAGCACAAAGGTAAGGACAATCCTGCTGTTTAAGAACATGTCATGAATCTGACATAGACTTTTTCTTAGGACCTTTCTCAAAAACAAAAGCAGAAAAACACAGGAAGATAATAGTGAATAATGTCCATTGTTTGTATATAAAATCTTATATAGCATATATAGCGCCAAAAAGCGTTCTTCTATTGTTTCAACTTTGACATCGTAACAATACACGATACCTTTTTGGTACCATATAGAACCATTTTCCAAAACATTCTATTTGAAACCATAAACATATTCTCAATCAATTTGAAAAACCATTTCACCATGCAAAGAGCCATTTAAGCATGCAAATGGTTCTTTGAGTGTTCATGGTTCTATATAGAGCTATAGTCTTTACTAAAGAACCCTTGAAGAACCATCTTTTTTAAGAGTGTGGGTCTTTGTACTACCAGGTATGAGACATCAGTGATGCTAAATAAGTTTCTTGTGCTCTTACCTTCCACCTCCATGGAAATTCACTTGCGCACTTTCCACATCAGCAGAACATACAGCGGTGGAAATGGAGAGGCGCTTGTCCTCTCTGCCCAACTGCAACACCGTGTTGAGACTGACAGTAAACATAACCAGTTCGAACCAACCGCCGTCTTTACTGTATGCAGAAAATACAGGGAAGACTGTGAAATACAGTATCTATGAACAAATATCCATTTGCATATTATCGAAGGGGTCATATTCTCAAATGTTGTATTTAATTTTTTTCTAAAGTTCTTAATTAAGTTGGGTGGCTTTGTGTAGCAAAAGCAGTCATAATGAATTTGTATATAACCATTTAATGACACAACCTCTCTTTACCTTTTATAGACAGACTGTTTATGTCACTTTGTCCGGGCTGTGTGGCAACACCGATAAAGTTGTATGCAAAAGTATGAACAGTACTTAGTATTAATGTATATTAGTGATTGCTCCTCATCAGGAAGAGTAAATAATTTGCTAAGCTGTGTTGATGCCAGCTGACACAGTCTCAATAACTGAAAGTGACTCTGATAAAGCTGTGTATTTATGCTTCATGAGTCAGTGTCACATTATCATCACAGTATATTTTAGAATTATTGGAAACACTGCATATATAGACCATTTGGACTTGGGAGTCAATGATACATGTAGTGACTTTTACAGTTTTTATATACTACAGCACCGTCTTATTTAAAAAAAATGCAAGGTAAATTCAGTTGTCCATAATAGGGGCCTTTTAATACTGTTTTTCTTATGGTACTAACTTAGAAGTAGCACTAAAAGGAGAGTCTTAGGGGTCAAATGAGGGTCATATTGTATGCAGACTTTCCTTTGGCAGTGAATGGTGGAATGAATCACTAAATATTATATATATATATAAAAAAAAAAGTTTCTATATACTACAGATGAAACTGCACAGGAGTTCCATATAATACCCTCTACAATAGAATACAGTGTGTGTTATTCCACTTGCTTACATGAGGCCATAGTGTGTCTTCCATAGACCGGTGATGGCAATGGAGAGTCCACTAACTTGCAGAGATATTCCGGTTCCCTCTGAAAAGGCGATTGATGGTTCTGGCAAATCACAGCGCTGAATGGACATGCTGGGGATTTACAATCGTGAAACTTTAACCAACAGTAATTCAGTTTAGGATTTGCTGTGTTTTCAATAATAGCCCAACGTTTCCCACACAGATTAGGTATAGTCTCTAACACACTGTTTTTAGGGTCTAAAAACCCTTTTATTCTAGAATGTTGTGACTCATTGTTCATACTGAATTAATCATTGGTTTAGGTACTTACTTATAGAGGACGTAGTCCACGGAACCAAATATGATATGTACACTCCCTTTGACTTCTGGGAGCGTGATGTTATCAAGTTCACTCTGCAGCCAGTCAGTCAACCAGTGAGTTACTGCACACATACAGAAAGAACACACATAACACATTCTGAATGATGAATGTTAGTATTTATGTATATGTCTAAGTAAATTCCTTCACATGATACGATTTTTCACCCAAGAAGTTTGAATATGTATACTGTGTAATAACAATATTTAGCCACACGAGAGAGCTCTGGGAATTCTGGTCCACACCCTTGTAAGTCTCAAATTGGTCTTCAGTCCTTAGCATCACCATCACTGAGCCACTATCGTGCTTAGTTTTCCTGAGCTTTTCCTGGCTCTGATTTTTTCCTCTTATCTGTGAGCTCCCTCAGATACTCAAAATAGTGTCATCATTTTCAAATACCACAGTATACCTTATTACTGTTATACCACCCAACCCTACTTCTTATCACTGATATCCGAAGGCTCCTCCTCAGTGTTCAGTCTTGTAACAGCCTGGGTAGATTGTACTGACACATCACAGATTACTGATGCAAGCAACTCAACACATATAAATCTTATGTTTACAATCATTGAAATTCCACTCACGGCCTTCTCCACAATTTTTCAAATTGTTTTGAGGTATGTCTGAAGGATTGTGGGTGAATGAAGGTCTTGAACAACATATCAGTTGAGTCTTTTGATTTCCCTGAAAAGACGGACGCATTTCTCAACTGTATTTGAAGGATCCTACAAAAGAGGACAGCCTTAGGCTGCATCCTTAGCTTTGAGACATGGTTAATTAATTTGTCACACTTATATTACACAAGTAGTCACTCGCAGCACTAGGGGAGACGGGGACAGCAAGAGAGATAATTCAATTAGAACAAACTCGTTCTCAGCTAGGTTAGCCTCAGTGTGCCAATCAGCATGGCATGAAAACTTTGCAGTGCAAAACATTCTTGAGAAGCTTCGACATAACATATATAAAACCTGTGAATAACGGGTTTGTGTCGTTATAAACCTTAAACCATGGTGTATCATCTTTTCTTTTGTTTTTGTTAGCCATGTAGCTTTTAGCTTGCTAACTGACAAACTATTAAAGTGATGAAGTTGTATCAGCAGTCATGTATGACAGATAGGACATTTGCCATCCTAAAGCCCAGCAAACTGAACACTACAGTTTTGAAATGTCAACCATTATAAGTAGTTTATTGCTGTCTTGTAAACAACTTTGTCTTCCATTTTTTCCAGTATGAAAATAGAAATGAGGCAGGTCATATAAATTTCTTGGCAACTTTTGCTGCTGAAGTCGATACTTATGTTCAGTAAATCCCTTGCCCCTCCAAAGGCTGTCATCTAACACTCCTCATTTTAGCTAATAAAGTAATGGAATGGCCCCTAAGAGGGGAAATGATGAGGCCAAGTGGGTGTGGGCTTTGTTAAAACCTGTACAGAAATGGGTGTATAGCTGCATACTACTATGCTATGCTATATTATGAATGTACTTGGTGCCATACTATTTAGTTTTGGTGAGCGTTATGGCAAAAATGTCATATCACGATCATTCAGGATATTTTTGCAATATATGATATGTGTTATGATTTTTTTTTGGAATGCAGATGCAATGAACGTGTAATACTATTGCACTTCCTGACCAAAAGAGGCATATTGCCAACAATTCTTCTGCAGAAAGTTGTCACTTTTTGATAGACAAGCATGCTAGGCTTGTCTTACCTAATGATGAACTCCTGAGAGCTGAGGTTAAGAGTCATTAGGCTAAAGAGAGTCTATTTGGGAAGCTAAGCAATATGAGGACATATAATTTCTGTAAAATGTATGAAAATTATACTATTATCAATCTAAGCTATTATCAATCTACTCTTAAAAAATGCATTATCAGTTTATTTATAGTGTTCTCAATCCTGTAGCAGGAACTGGAAGACCAATTCATGTGAAACAGTTTCAAATAAGCCTTGTCACATCTAGGGAACCCATAGACATCAACAGTCATGGGGTTTCCTCCCTGGTAATGCTCTGCTAGGCTTTTACTGCACCTGTCTTTAGTTCCTGCTTGTTCTTGGGCGTTTCAGTTTTGCCCTCAGTGAGTAAAATGCATGCTCGATTGGATTGAGGTCAGGTGATTGGAGGGCATACAATTGTTTCTTTTAGTGGGGCCCATAAGATCATAGTTACACCACTGATCACATCTGATGTTTCTGAAATGACAGCAAAGTATGCTGCGCTGCCCTGGTCAAACTTCTGCCTTTTGTGTCCTCAGAATAGGCCAGATGAAATGGGGGAGCAGAAAGTGGAAGGGAAACTTCCCCACAGCATTTACCCACAGTCTTGACAATCTGCAGTGTGTTCAAGTGACCCAGTGCTGTGTTTCAGTCTAAAGGCCTGCAGTTTCACTACCTCAGCTTCCTTTGCTGTACATTGTCCTGAGCATTCATTTTAAAATGGAGGACACAGAGCTCACAAGGTGCGAGAAAACTAGCTATTAATCACTCTAAACTGCAAAAAGGCCCCAAAACGTAGTATAATAATGAATGAACATCTATCTGTTAAATTATATAGTATGTTACATATTTTCAAGTTTCATTCATTATGTCCCAAAATGAATCTACACTTGCAAATCGCTGCTGTCATATCTCATAAAAAGTGATTTTTCATATAGGGTTTGGGGATTGGAGGCCTCTCTGGTGGAAATGTGTAACTGCAAACAAGATTTTGCAGATGAATATGATGATTGCATGCGCCTCGAAAGAGTATGTAAAAAGAATTCAGTCAAAACTCGGTGAACAACGCATCTCATGACATCATGGATGTCATCAAATTGTCACCAGTATAATTTTGTTTTTTACATTTGAGACCTAAACACTGAACCGGATTTTCTTTTTCAGTGTGTGTGTGACATAAAACTGTATGAAGTGGACCGAAAAACTCCCTTGAAATCTGACCCTCAGCATGAACTTCAGCAGCACACGTATCATATTTTAGTGTTCCTTTTTCTGCTGACTCAGTAATACTACTTACTTCAATCTTAGCAAAAATAACTTACATATTGCAGCTGCAAATTTCAATGTAATAAATTGTAAAAAAAAAAAAAAAGTAAACATTCTAAGTAATTATAATTATAATTTATAATAATAATATAATATATTGGTGTGTTCCTCAAGAAACTTGGGAAGAGGGAACTGGTAAAAAAAAAACAAAAAAAAAACAAACAAACAAACAACAACAAAAAAAAACTAAATAAAATTGGCAAAATAGTCATTTAGGATGCCAATTTGTTTAACCCCTCTAAGTCAACCTCCATGCACCAGGATGTTCATTTACATCATGTTTAAGGTTTTTAACTTCATTTTAAAGACAACTAGCTAATCGACTAGCTAGCTACCTAAATGCATCAACAAGTCAGATTGTTTTTCGAGATAAACAATGAATCTGAACAATTTGTGATTAGCAGTTACATGAAATGAATGTCACCCTGCCATAAAGTAGAGAGATAAACCAAAACTTATGCATTTGAAATGTACTTTTTTGACATGTTTAACACGTTCCCAGTATGTGTGGTTTGTAAAATGCATCGTGAAATTACCTTTTTGCAGTCCCTTCTGTGAGAGAACAGCTTGCAATGCAGAATCTTCTGCATGCGTTTGTGTTGTAGATACAAGGAGGAGAGCGACCAACAACATCTTCATCTTGATCACTCACTTGCAGAACCTTAACTATAATAGAAAACATGTCAAAAATGTGCGTTATGAAATAATTTGTAAGCTCTTTTGTCTATTTCTATGCATATTTAGATATGCTAACACCACAGTAATAGTAAGGTTTATCTAAATGTAATAAGCTGCAACTCCTACCAAAAACAATGAGCTTTTGAGAAAACAGGTCCTTACCAGTGGCTGCCTTCACAGAGCATATATCTGTATGTCTTTAAGTTCTGTTAACTAGTCATTTTGATTCTTACTTCCTCTATAATTCAAGATCTGAAACCATGGGCATGACAACTATAAGTGTGTTAAATATGACAACAGGAAGTCTCTAGAGAGAAATCAGCCGTGCTTTTTTTTTTACACGTTTGCTTGACGGCTTGCTCTGCCACTCTAACACATTTAACATTTACTCTTCTACAGCATTCTCATATTGTGGTTCCAGTAACTTGGTTTGAATTCCACCAAATCTCTACATAATTAAAATCATTCAGATGCAGTCGTTCAACGTGGTTTGATGAGGAAATAAGCTAAATGCTTGTTTTCAAGCATGTGACAAGCTAGTGCTGATGACAGCACTACATGAACACTAGTATTATAGAAGTCTTAAGAACAATTACTGGACTACTCCATAAATAGCTGTTGGCTACAAACACCCATTTCAAGGGATTCCACTGGTTTTGTACACTTACATCAGTACACAGATGCAGATCAGAGACCACAACCAATTGTTTATGTTAGTAATACAAGCTGACCTGTTAAACTCAACATAAAACACCATCATGAGAAATATAACAAAACCCAGTAAAATTAGGCCTGTCAGAATTATTACATAATCGCCATAATCACAGGTATTTGAAATGATCACACTTATTTGACTGCAGTCTTTTTCTCAGTTGTTAGATTTTATAGTCATAAATGCTGCAACAAACAAAATATGAACTGGATGTGTTGACTTGAGGCATATAAGTGAAAATAAATCTTTTATGCTAACAGGGTGAGTGTTATTTTCCCCATCATGTTTATTTGTGAAGAACACGTAGCCTTGCTTGATGCATAATTTTGTGCAACTGTAGACATTTTTGCGAGTGTGTGTGCAAGCAGTATTGATTGAACAGTACAACGAGTGTTAGCTATTTAGTAAACAAGCAAGTAAGGCTAGCAAGTAAGGTGACTTACCACTTTAGGCTTGTGTTGCAAACAATGAACAATAAAAGGAGACAAATCATCAATCACAATTATTTTTATGACAAGTAATCGTCAGCTAAAATATCATATGATCATAAATAAAATATGATCATAACAGCCCTAAGTAAAATGTGTCTAACCGTAGCATAAAAATAACATTATAGCCCACATTTGATAATAACTTATTCAAAATAAGACCAACAAGCTGCAAAGAACGTTGGGAAGCTCTGCCTCCAATCCAACTAGCTCACTTTATGTCTACTAATATGATGTCAGACTTTCATGAACTCAACAAGAAGAAGTTGCTGAACATTGTGTGAGCGATATGTTTACTTTAATACAATGGTGGAATATAATTTGGGTTTTCTTCAATCCACTTATTGAATTTTAACATTGGGGTTTGTAGTGTGGGCATTTTGCACATTAAAAAGAGTTGTGAATGATGCATCATGTCTGACAGGAGTAAAGTATCAAGTCATATCATTACTTTGATTTACCAGAATAAAACTATTCTCTGGTATTTGAGACAGATTAATGAGGAAACTTGAGTGCACACTTTTCAGTTAATGACGTACTGAATCTGTTCAATGAAATGAAAGTGAAACTTTGTGTGTTTCTTCACAAGACTATGAACTTCCTCCTCATCATGAAATGCAGCACTGTTTTTACAAAACAGCAACCATTCTTCAAAGACTACTGATTATTGGCTTTACTGTAAAACATAGGAATATTTGATGTGCAGTGCTTGGGTTGACAAGTCTTTTATGTCCTGATAGCCAGCCTACAATGCAAGCAAGCACTGGTGCCCTGATAAAGCCTGTATTAATCTATGGCCTACCACATCATTTATTCCAAATATCGTATAATGTCTTAAGGCTCTGTATTTGTAAATATGAACAAAAAATTATGTATTCATAAATAAAAATAGGTTTAAGTGTAACAAGTGTCTGAATGCTTGTTTTGCCTTCACTGTAGCTGTTTCTGGAAACATGGACAACTGGGTCAGCTACACTTGAGCTGCATACAGTGCTTAACATAGTTGAACTCATGTGATACATGGCAGCAATGTATTAGCATAAGTGATATATTAGCATGTTAGCAAAATATGCTGTGTGTTCTCTGTGTGCCGAAGATGCCTTGTGGTATCTGGCACCAAGACATGAACAGCAGATCCTTTAAGTTGTGAGGTGGAGTCACTGCAGATTGGACTTTTTGTTCCAGCACACCCCACAAATGCCCAATCTAATTGTGATTTGGGGAATTCAGAGGCCAGGGCAATGCCTTGAACTCTGTCATGTTCTTCAAACCATTCCTGAACAATGTATGCAGTATGTCAGGGTGCATTGTCCTGCTGAAAGAATCCACTGCCATCAGGGTGTACCATTGCCGTGAAGGGGTGTCCAGAATGATGTTCAGGTAAGTGGCATGTGTCAAATTGATGTGCACATGAATGCCTGGACCCAGGGCTTCCTGGCAGAACATTACCCAGAGCATCAAACTCCCCGCACTGGCTTCTTCTCACAGTGCATTCTGGTGCCATCATTTCAAAACAGCACTCACATTCCCAGTTATCCACGTGATGTAAAAGAAAACGGGACTTACCAAACTAGGTGACCTTCTTCCATTACTCCAAGGTCTAGTTCCAACACTTGCGTGCCCATTGTGGTCTTCCAGCGGTTGACAGGGTTTAGCATAGGCACTAATTAAACTAATAATCAGTGGTCTTTGAAGAATGGTTGCTGTCCTGGTTGCTGCACTATGACCGGTCCGCAGCTATGTGGCCCTATATGCAGCAGGCTGCAATGCACTGCGTCATTTTAAATGAGCTTGGGCCCAGAGAAGGTGGCAGTGTTTCTGGGTCTTGTTTATGTACAGTTTCTTCTTTGCATTTTAGAATTTCAACTTGCAGTTGTGGATGCTGCAACGAACTGTTTTCACAGACACTGGTTTTCAGAAGTGTTACTGAGCCCATGCAGTGATTTCCACTACAGAATCATGTCTGTTTTTAATGCAGTGCCATCTGAGGGCCCAAAGATCACAGCCAGCAAATACTGGTTTTTGGCCTTGTCCCTTGCATACAGAGATTTCTCCAGATTCTCTGAATCTTTTAATTTTATTATGTACCATAGATGATTAAAAGCAAAAGTTCTTTGCTACTTTATGTTGAGAAACGTTATTCTTGAATTGTCGCACTATTTGATCATGAATCCCTCCCCAGCTTTACTTCTGAAAGACTCACACAATCATGTTACTGACCTGTCGCCGATCAACAACCAGGTGTTTTTTTAGCATTACACAACTTCATGAGCGTTTTGTTGCCCCCGTCCCAACTTTTTTGGAACGTGTTGTCAGTGTCAAATTCAAAATGGGCAAATATTTTTTACTTGAACAATAAAATTTCTCAGTTTAAACATTTAATATGTTGTCTTTGTACTATTTCCAATGAAATATAGGGTTTAAATGATTTGCGCATCATTGCATTTTTTTTTATTTACAATTGGCACAGCATCCCAACTTTTTTCAAAATGGGTTGTAAATGACTTGGAGCAAAGAATGATTTTGAGAGATGGAGATACTGCCACTAATGATCATAATGGTGGGTTAAGCATCTTTGATTATTTATTCCATCTTTATTCCTTAATGAAACTATAAAGTGTGCACACACAACATTTCCTCCCAAGCCTCTTGTGCTAGATGGATTTTTTGGTTTGTAACATCCTTTTTTAAATTAGGAACTGATCACTGAATTAAATGTACGTTAAACATGTGCTTACTTTTACTTCCTCATGATTCATTATTTGGTAGACTGCGGAGACAGAGGTTGAACCATGACACGAAAATATAAATGTGCAACTGACAATATACCAAGCATTACTGCAAAAACACGACCCAATGACAAACAGTAAACTGAACTTAAAAAGCCAAAGTTAGCATGTTGCCATTTTATGTAATTTTCTGTAGTTCACACTTCAGCCTAATTTATTTAAAAAAAACACAGTTTAGTGTCCTTTTTATCTTTTTGTTCATCAGCATTCTTATATTATAATAACCAGCGTGCATTACACAAAAACATCATACAACCACAAAATTCCTGCAGCTGAATTCTTAAACCTTTATGGAGAACAGCTGCTGTCAGTATCAGTAAGTTAAGGGAAAAAAAAACTGACAAGAACAAGAGGGTAAAGTTAAATCAATGATTTCAGTCGATTTCAGTGCAATTTACAATAAGTCTTCTCTTCATGACTTTGTTAAAGGATCATAATTATTTTCTAGGTTTATCCTGCTAGGACTGCTCTGAGGCGGCGCAACATTTTTATTAGTCACGGCTACAGATGTGACCAGTGATGTGACAAAACTTTTTGAGAATCGCCACAGCAGCCAGTTCTGACCAAGGCTCTCAATGGTCCAATGGTCCGAGTGCAGGGGTTCTTAACCTTTTTTTTTTTACCGTGCAAAATGTCTTCATCATGAACTTTGGGTAGCATTAGGTGAAGAAAGGTATCAAGAAATGGCTACTGGGTCAAGTTGGCACACAGAAGATCTGTTTTTTTAGTGCATGACTTAAACATATGTCTAGACAGATAGATAGATACATAGATAGCAAGTAGCAGTAGCAAGACATATAATTGCACACAAACTTACATAAATTAGGCAGAAATTTAAAAATTAGACAAAGTATGAGAGAGTAGAAAATCTATCATTTAATATAAATTATATAATTATTCATTTTAGAATACAGAAAATATATCTATTTGCATAGCATATTAGACAGATTTGTTGTATTTACACGAGAGCACATATTGTGTGGTATAAGGTATTTTAAAACTCAGTAAACATAACTAGGAATAGCGGCAGTATTTACAGTCTAAAGTGCGCAGTGAAAGTGTCATTCTGGTAGCACAGTGTTTTTTAACAAGAGAGGTGATACAGTGATATGATGTGACAGCAGGAGGTCAGTACCATCTCTGCAGTAAGCAGACTCATTGTAGAGCCTTGTAGTAGTAGGTAGGAAAGATCTAACATGACACTCTTTAACACAGCGCAGCTGTAACAGTCTGCCGCTGAATGCGCTTCTCTGTTTATCCAGTGTTGCATGCAGGAGGTGTGAAGTATTGTCCAGGATGGCTAAGACACTTGTTGGTAGTCCTTTGTTCTGCCTCATCTGTTTACATACACAGATCACATAAAGTCAATGTGATAGCAATGCTATCTCCTCTGCTGCCAGTCCTAAATACGTTATACAAATTCAGATTATAGGTTGGTACAGTTTTAGTTTGTGCAACCAGATCAGTGTTTCCTATTATTACCTAGGCTCTAGTGGCCCACCATAATAAAACTTAAAATGTATTTGCAAAACTGAGTATTGGAGTACTGACTGGCATGGTACTTGGTGTGCACCGTGTGGCTGCATTATCTAGTAAAATATAAATATTGGATCGGTTTCACCTGATACTCAGTATTAAATGACTGAAAACTATTCCTTGACCCAAGACTCTCTGTATGAATTTCAGCTCTTAAGGTTGATCCTCTATGGAGTGAGCATCTCATCTGTTAATGTATGGATTGTGGACAGCTACACTTATCAAAGCTAGCTAAAAGCCTGTGCTAATGCTAGATACTGTCTTTTTGTCACCAAATACAAAAAAAAAAAAGGTGATGTAATTTTGTTTTTCTACGTTTTGTCTTAAAAATAATTTTTCTCTGAGATATATGGATGCTGACTATGAATACATTAGTTCCAGCAACTTGAAGTAACACTACTAACAAGTCTGGCTACAGGCTCTCCAGCCACAGTGTCAGGAGTCTATTATTACTTCCTAATTACACCAAACAATAACATGGTTGCCATAGCTGTGTAAGCTGGGGGAAGTGTCTAGAGTGCATTTGATTTTAGCTGCTTTCCATGATTGGGCCGACCACAATTTTGCTGACCTTGCACCATGTACCATTTCCAACTACTAAAGTGTTCTAAGCAGGAGGTCGTTTCTGTTTTCGGAAGGATCATTTCAGATATGGGACAATACAGAACTTCAAAAACAGCAGCTGGCATGTGACCTTACCTTTTCAAAGACCATATTCCCACCTTTAAAATGAACTGTAGTTTAGCACATTTCGTATATATTTACCTCAAAGACATGAAGACTTTTTGATAAATATAACACGATGGGAACTGGGGAAACAGTATGTCTGCATTACCAGGGCTTCATTAACCAGCAAGTACAGCAAACCTCTTTTTCTAGTCTTTAAGGCATCACAGGATTGTCAAAGGTATTAAAACACAAGGGCTGTCAAAGAACACAGGACAAAAGCCCCTAGGGTTTCTCTTCTTTTAAGAAGCTTTCCTCCACACTTTCCCAAAACCACAAATGAATGTAAACCCTTAAACAGGCTTCATGATAAACAAGTAACATAAACAGAGTCATTTTAATGATGTTTATAGTAAAAATACTTTGATCCATACATACTGTACAAAGTCCAACGGATCTTTACATTTGGAAAGGTATGGGCAGTCACCTAAAATCATACAGGTGGGGGGGAAAAGGCATGAAATGCTGGTATAGGACCATGGGTGCAGATGACACCCTGAAATATATTCACTTTTGGGCAGTTAGGACTGATGTTGCCTGATCACGCTTCATTTCTGTTGGAATTTCAGAATCGTACCCATACCATAAAGTACACAGGAAGGAAGGCACAACTCTTAAGACGCCTTCTCAAAACTAAATATAAGCGCTAACTGCTTCTATTTTGAGCAAAAGAATAAGAAAATATGGACAGAAAAATATTTGTTGCTGCGGGCAGTCCTGAAAAAGAAAAGAAAAACCCCAAAAAACTAAAGCCCAAAAGGTATTGTGGCAGCAAAATAACCGACAATAATGTTTAAGGGGAGATGGAATCAAGCAGGCACACCATAAGAGGAGCAGACAGTCCCATGTCCCTTTGAAACAGACTGACACGCAGTGTCCAGTCAGGGTTCAGTAGAACCACAAAAGTGACCAGACATCATAGACACCCTAGACCAACACCACCAGCTGTTTTTTGTGGGCATACCCATTGAAACAGACAATATGATAAATGTTCTTAAAAGTACACCCCTCTCAAAACATCTGTCAGTATTTATCTTCTCTTACAAAAGGATACATTCAAAAAGGGGGAAACTTTAGAAAGAGCTTTTCCATGAAAACTAAATATTTTTTTGTGGGATTTTCTTTAGAAACTATCACACATGCTCTATCAAGCCATCCTTGTAAGAAACTATATCTTCCTTTATCATCCAGCAATTCCATGTTTATTAGCATTTGCAGAGAGCCCTCCAAATACGGTTCGCAGGGAGGGCCTCCGCAGCCTAGGAGCCCTTGATCTGATCAAGTGTTCCACTCCTCTAGTTGCTAACCGCTTAATTTTCTGGCTTGTTCCACAACGCATCACTTTTTGACATTTTATTGTCATCATTCCTCTCTCAGTGGTGTTCACTTCTGAGGTACGAGTAAGATTGTGCTTCCGGTTTTCTCCTCTTTTCTCACTGGTTCACTCATTTAGGGAGAGGATGATGTCGTCTTCCAGATCGGAATTGTCCGAGCTATCTGCTGGAAAGGCAGAACAGGGAGAGAAAGGGTTAGAACAACTAGAGGATGCATATAGACTGAAAGGAAGCCACCCAAAAAGAGGCAAGCCTTTCTAATCCACTCTCACAGAAACATCAACTCACTGTTATCAAGCACAAGGTCCACATCTCCCTCATTATCGTCAGAGTCATCATCTTCGTCATCCTCGTCATCATCATCGTCATCATCGTCATCCCCTTCCTCTTCCAGCAGGCGAGCCACCTCTTCATCATCAGAGGGAGAAAAATCCTGCTCGCCATCCTCCTCCTCCTCCTCTTCTTCTCCATTATTCTCATTCTCCAGTTCTGCCAGCAGGGGGTCTGTGTCAATATCGTCTATGTCATCATCGGAGTCGTCATCATCGTCCTCCTCTTCCTGATCTTCATCCTCCTGAAAGGTTGGATAGCAAAAATAGCAGTTTCTGAAAACAATTACCTTTTTATAACCTTGATGAATCGATTCAAAATCAATTTTCAATGAAACATTTACATACACAGCATGCCTAACACTGTAAGAAGTTACAGACACCTTTCTATTGGTCAAGGCTGCTTTATGATGGTTTAGCAGTTAAATGAACATATTACTCTAATAAATCTATGCAGTTCTACACAAGCTAAATGCATAAACCTTATTTAAATAGCAAAGACACAGAGTGACATGGATACTCTTATAAAGCATCAAAATCTATTTGAGAGCTATTAGCTCCCCCTTGTGGAGTGACTTTTTAAATAACCATTTTAAATAAAATGCTATTTACTGCTAGAAGGCAATAATTAAATCATCACCAACATCAACAATTTTAAAAGCCTGTCATTGCTTACACAATGTGAAAGCAATATACGCCAAGATATGCGCACCTGATCTTCCTCATCCTCTTCCTCCTCAGCCAGTCTTTGTCGACCAACTTCATAAAGCCTGCACACCGTGTCCATGTTTATGGAATCCTGATTCTATGTGAGGTGAAAATGTTTCCGTTTGCCTTCATATTGTAATAGCAAAAAAACAGCTTGAGTAATTATTTTGGAAATTCACAAAATTAAGGTTTATAGAACTTACTTCAATGACAGCCAGATAGCAGTCTTTGGTGTCTGTGCAAAGGTCAAAAATATTCCTCTTCACATCAATGGTGGCTGGGAAGGCATATAAAAAAACCTGTTATTTATTTTGTTCTATGTTGCACTAAGTTCAGAACTTTGACACTTCTTGAGCATACTCTGCCTTCTTTGTCAATTCTATTATCAGAAAAGCACACCAGGAGTGTGCCAGTTAAAAGTAAGTGTTTTATTAAATTCTTATTCAGTTAATCTAAAAGTAAGTTATTCTAAGGTCCTCGCTTTACTAGCTGACTCCATTCTTAAAATAAACATTGGTTTTAAGCTGTACCAATGGGTTTGTAGTCAGTGGCATCAAATGTCCTGAAGGAGGAACCGAAGGGACTCTTCATCTGCTGCTCCATCATGTCATCCTCATCATCAGCCTGTAGCATTGCTAAGACAACCATAAAAGAAGGAAAAATCCACACACAATCATTGATGCTATTATAACCTGAGCATATGCAGCTGCATGGACATTAACAAACACCTTTGGGAGTAATTGTGTGTGTGTGTGTGTGTGTGTGTGTGTGTGTGTGTGTGTGTGTGTGTGTGTGTGTGTGTGTGTGTGTATGTGTGTGTATATTACCTCCATAAATGACTGTTCCATTGTTGTTAAAGACGATTCTGCATTGATCCAGCGCTGGTACCGTGTGCAGTAGATGGAAGGTCCTTAAGTCCCACTGATGGTAGTTAAAGAACCAAATTTGCATACTTTGAACTAGAGCTGGGCGATAAGGCCAAAAATGTTATCACGATAAACAAAATTCATATCGTTCGATATCAATACATACCGCGATAAATGTCAAATCATTATTTCTTTCAAGTTTGAAGGCTGATTTTTGCTCCTGGGTGGTTAATTGCTGTTTTAAACTATCCTTTATGGTCGGAACACAACAAACACTCGCCAAACACTGGAACATTTCACAAATCTGTCATGGGAGAGTGGGAGAAAGTGTCTGCTGAGCTGTTTTTACCAGCTGGAAAAGCATGGCTATTTTGTAATAGTCATGATTTAAGAAACAAAACAGATTATTTTTAGCTGGTGACGAGCGCTCGGCTACCCCGCTACAAATGACATCACAGTATTCAGACACCAGCTAGCGACGACTGGATATTCAATTGTAGTAGTTTAAGTGGTGAACTGCAAAATATCAACACTAGACAAACAGAGTCCCCCTTTTAGGAACGTTTAAACTGAAAGCGGTGCTTTTGTGTCGTGTTTGATCTACAGTATCATCAATTCTCCGTGTCGTGGAGTGACGGAGCGCTGCTTCAAGTTAGCCAGCTGCTAAAAACAGCTAGCCTGGAAAGCTTGTGCTCTCCCGCTCTCCAATGCCTCACAGCTTCCTCAGTTTACTTTCGTTTAAATCAGGACTGTAACTCACATGAACCCACTTCTTTCTTTCACTTTCGTTGCTTGGGAATGCACTCATACTTAAATATGACTGTCCGAGCTCTGCAACAGTGCTTTAGTTGTGAGGATTGTGATTTAACACTGCTAAAGCTGGTTAGGATGTTAGGAAAGAGGTGAGTTCACTGTAGGACAGTACAGTTACATCACTGACCTCGTCACTCACACTCGGTCACAGGAGAGCAGATGGCCGGTCGCTCCACTCAAACAGGGAATGTATAACTCCGCATTTCAGCTGTTGCTAAAGACTCATCTTACTCGTGGCCCCCTCCCTCACTAATTATGTAGAAAAACTCGGAAGTGCGCCCTCTCCTGGCGACAGCAGAGTAGTGTCGCCTTCCTTGCAGTAGAAAACGCCTCCAAGGCTTTCGCTGAACATGGGAGTGTGAGAATGGTGTATTACATCGAACATTTATTGAACATGTCGTATCGCTCTATCGAGGAAAAGTTAAATCGCGATAATTATCGCTATCGTTTTATTGCCCAGCCCTACTTTGAACTATTAGAAAGCTTATTTACTATAAGAAGTCCCTTGAATTCTGTTCCTCTATAACAGGAATAACATGTAAGCATTTCAACGAAGTACAACTGGCTCTATATTGCACAAATGACAAATTTAAACTAACTTAACTCATTCTCTACTGTGGGGGGTGGTAGACACTACGTAGGCTATTAAAACATCAGTTATCACATTTTATTTTTGCTGTTATCATCCAAGATTGTTTGTTTTACTTGTTGTTTTATGTGAATTAGTGAACAGCTCTGTGATCTACAAAGCAATGTGTTTCCAAACTAAGATTTTTGCTTGTTTCATTTGAACTGGTTGCGATTTTGATTTCTCAGCAGAGAGAGGAAGGGGGGAAAGAAGGGCCCCCCCCGCCCTAGTCATTTCCAAGTCACATGCCTCCAGCTACTGACTTGTAGAACACAAAAATCAAGACACTAAAAGAAGACTGGCACAGCAACCACTTTTCACTTTGTGACATTTGTGGAAAACAGCCAAATCACATGAAAACTCTTAGCTTTCAGCAGAGGAAATGAGGTTGTGTGAGGCTGACACGTGGTCAGGAATCCTCACCAAGTTGATCATGCTTTGTGAGACAGGCCCCTAGTTTTGCGTACATTTTGTCTATTGAATAACGCTTAAAATCACATTTTTATTAATACAGACCATCAGCTAATTGTCAGGTGTACCACTTCAGCTAAGTTAGTATATAATGATTTGAATATAATGTGCATGTTTTAGCTACCAATAGATAGCATTCTATAAACTGGAACATCTACTACGCAAAACAGAAGCAAATCTAGTGTGAAGGATACAATCTCTGTGTTGATGATGACCTCCAGGCCATTGGGGTGGAAAACTCCACTGATGTTCATGTTAAACTTGTCAAACTTGTGGATAGCTTGTGCTGAGCGGACATCCCACATGACCCCATCATTCAGGACAAGGTCATCAGTGGGATTGAAGGTGGCACAGTTGCGCTTGTAATTGTTAGCCAGGTCAGGGTTGTTCAGGGTCAGGGTCTTCTGCCCAGTTTGAATGTCATAAATCTGAATAATTAAAGCACAAGAGAAAATAATAAAGAAAACTTGTTCTTGGCCATTCATTTAAAAAAAACAGACAAATCAATACATCAGTTTCTGGACACTGGATTTTACCATTTAAAAGAACAGAACTGTGAACACAATTAAGCAATCAGGAATGAGTAATGCATTGGTGAAAGATTCCTATAGAAAATATTTCAGATGAACATTTTTTATGCTACCACTACATGTGAATAACTAAACCTGCTGTCTTACATGTGCAATGTGTTCTTTCGTTCCTATTACTCTGTCCTGGGAGAGTTTACTGAACTCCACATAATGATCATCTAAAAAGGAATGCCTGCAAAAAATAAAACAAACACACAAAAATGCTTTATTTATTGGCACAACAATAACAACATAATTGGTAAAAATGTCTGTTAAGGTGATTTATTTAAAGTGAGTAAGTATGTTACACTCACTTCATTATGAAGACAGACTTCATGCCCCAAAGGGCTGACAGGGGATAGCTCCATGAAGCTGATGTCAACAGTAAAGACCCATCCTGCAAGAGACAAAAATCGATGGCATGACATTGAGCCTTGACAAATCATTTCTAAACAAACCACATTTAACAGTCAGGTCTGTACAGACTAATTTACTTAAGACATTGCAATGAAGGTTAAGACACCCAGCAAAAAAGGTGACACCAGCTAATAAACTCAAAGCCTGGAGTCTCACACATTTTTCAAAAGCCGTGAAAAACAAAATAGGTTATTAAGTGTTCTCTCCAATAGCGATCCGTTTCTCCTTTGTTTTAAGACGTTTTGCTCCAGACTGGGCAGTTAGACTATAAAATAGATATAGAACCAAGTAAAAGGTATTAGGTTCAGGTTGAAATCAGCAGAAATTTCTGGATCAGGTACTGAAAGAAAAAAAAAAAGGGGAAAACAAAACAAAAAAAAAAACAAACAAAAAACAAAACAAAAAAAGTCCTGTAACAAATCTATCCTATAATGGCACTTCCATGCATTTTGTGATTAACTGTACGTTACCTCCCTCAAGTGTACGTAGTCTGTGTATGATAACCTATTTTTTTATGCTCATTTTAATGAAAAACTTTAAATTTAGAGAATTTTCCACTTACCCCAGATGGAAGAGATGAGCCAAGACAAGACAAGACAAGACAAGACATGTTTGGTGTCCAAACTGGAGCTATGAGGCTTACAAACACCAAACATCACTAGTCACCCAAATCTCTCATAAATATATCCTCACTCAAACCACATCCACGTCTTTCTTAAAGGAAATGTAAACAAAGCAATTTAGAGTGGATTGATGTAAAATGCTTTCATGAAAATTGAGACTTTGGCCTAAAGCATTTATTGTAAATATATTTGTTAGTACCTAGTAGAAAACATTTTTAACATTGTATTATCATTATCATTCCATCTCACACTTGTAGGTTCGCTATTAATTCTGCATCGTAAATAACATGACTATATTTGTGTTGTGGACATCATCCCTGGTTGTTTTTGTGAAATGGCAAAAACTGATTTTCTTTGCCACCTCGTGCCTCATCTGGACAGCAAAATGAGGAATATGGAGTGGAGTGTGAACACTGAGGGAGTTTCTCTCCTGGGTGAGCAAGCTCGTGTTGAGAACCACAGGTATACAAGCTAATGACTATGAGCTGTGGTTTAAAATTTGTGATCTAAGTAGTGTAATAATGGAAACGTGCACGTAAAAGTGATCATTTCACTCCAGTCACTTAACCACAGTTAGCAACACTGTTATCTTATGTTTTATATGGCATATGTAAAATCTTCATCTAAGAGGGGCCACCAAACATGTCTTGGCTGACTGACTTCATCTGGAGTTAGTTAAAAATTATGCAAGTGTTTAGAAGTTTTTAAAGTAGAAATATCTAAATAGCATCACTACCTGCCAAGACTTGAAGTATTGGAAACGAAACCTACTTTTTAGAAAAGAAAAGGCATTGTGCCCTCTCCGTTAAAAAAGGGGAAGGGGAAAAACAGACGCACCCTAGAGGGTTCAAGGTGTGTGATTGCCGAGCTGTGGCAGCTGTAGCTGGCTTCCTCCTGTCCACTGAAGACATTGTAGAGTTTGAGCTGACCAGTGCACGTGCCCAGCATGAGGAAGCGCTCTCGTGCTGAGAAAGCACAACACATGAAGCCACTCTCATCCTCCTCCGCTTCTCTGAACACAGATATCGGCCTAAACCTGGACACCCCACCCAAAAACACATACACAAATCAGTGCATTGAAACCTAACCTTTCTGTTACTGCATGCATCCAGTTTGCAACAGATCCTGCACACACATTGGTTGTTTCTACACAGAGAGTTAAATCCATCTTTTCATTGATCTAATCAACTGCCTTGACTTGAAAACAAAACTCCTGAACACAAACAGCATTTTCATGCTCTTACTGTACCTGCTGAAGATGAGATGTCTGTCGAAGCAGCCCCCATCAACCCCCCCGTATTTGGGGTATACTACCCTGCGTGTGTGTCGCGCAGTGAAGTTTGTGGGGGCCTGGCGCCTCTGCTTTGGCTCAGGACACTGGTGGGGAGTGAAGAGACTGAAGGGGGGGCAAGTGGTCACCGGGTTCTTACAGCGTGCATGCTGTTCCCGCAGGTATTCCGTTATGATACTACAAAGAGAATAATGTTAATGTCATGTGAGATATATGCCAAAAATAACAACTGACAACACACCCACTCAAACATTTTGCTGATTTTCTATTTTAGGTCTATTTAATTTGTAATGTTTTATCATTAGTTTTTAATGTTAAACATATTGGAAAAAATATGCCATATAAAATTGTGCCATAACTGTTGCACAGGCCATATTTTATGTTTTTGTTTTCCCTCCAAAATGTTAAATTCAGCAAATAAACATTATGTAAACAGTGGGCATTAAATTGTGCCATTTCCTATAACGCTTGATTAAAATCAATTACTAAGCGATAGTTTAAAAGCTGGCATCTTATTAACAATTAGTTGGCTTACCGAAGCTTATGCTTCTAATGCTGCATACAGTGACTGAAGGCTGCAGAGCACAAGCAGTTGGAAACTAGGGCTGTCAAACAGTTGACAGCCAGTGAGAGTAAAGGTGGCTTTATGTTACAACCAATTAGTGTATAAATCATATATACCATCAGTGGTTTCAACACCTCTGTGATTGTAGCCTCTCGCTTTCATATCGCTATGGTAAGTCTTACTTCGAGGGAAACTGGATCTTTCCACTTTTTGCTTTTGCTTGGGTTAGTTTGCTGCGCGTTGATTCACTCATGGTTCTTTAGTGAGCACTGCCCAGTGTAGTCAGCTACAACAGTCCTCCGGTGCTAACATAGGCGATACTACCAGCGATGTGCTTTACATGCAAACTTCGGACTCAACACGACACAACAATAGCCGTAAGTAACTTCTATCAAGTGAGCCACCAAAAAAAGCTGTCATTTAAAAATTGTATTTAAACAATCGGAGTACACTCCTCAACGATATGCTTTCTCTGTTTCATCCAAGCACAGTGCACAAGAAAAACTCAAGTTTGATTACAGTTACTGACAGAAATGCATTTAGTTTGACTTATCATTAGAGGGAAATATATTGTTCTTTTAAATCCCCAATCACAGAGATTAAAATGGCATTTTCATGAGCAATGGAGAAGGTCTGATCTTGATAAAAGTTGTTTAAATATAGTTTAGATATAGAGTAGATCTGTTTGAAAGCAGTATAAAAAAGCAGAAATATTGCTTGTATTTCTTTTTTAAATAAAACACTGTAGTGTCAATGTAGATAAAACATTAATTATTGACAGTTATTAATTATTCTTAAACTTGACACGCTAATAATTACACTCTTTTGTGGATCAATCAAAATTATAAGACTGATACATCGATGATGGAAATAGCTGCTAGCCGCAGCCATCATTTACTAATTTATAATTTAATTTCAACATATTTTCATATTGTTTCAATGAAACAACAATAAACATCTCTTACCATGAATGCAAAGCTAAAACAAAAATCTGGCTGCATATAGAATTTCAGGTATGCTGACAAATTTACAAATTATGATTTTACTCTGTAAAAAGTACATTTTTGTTATTAAAACACCCTGATACTCTTAAATAAATAAACAAACAAAACCCACAGTCTACAGGACTGATTTGGTATTTTCTGCATTTTTTAATTTTACCACAGAGTTTTCTGCAGCGCCTAGTGAGAGTTAAATTGTTTAAAAGAAACTTTATCTATTTCATTTGTAATAAATCATGTGACTTCATTTGTGTATTCTATGGCTTGGCTTGCTCACTGGGGCTTGGATCGGGATTTTCTGTAAAGCTGCTGTGTGACAATGCGTGCTGTAAAAAGTGCTATATAAATAAACTTTGACTTGACTTTGACTTGCCAACCAAAGTCTCAACACAAAAGTTATACTGTTGGATTGGCCTGGTGATGATACTGTTAAATCATCCAAGCCAAACGTAACTAGTTAAAACTTAGTTTAAATCTAATGTTAATTAGCACTGAATGAGTAAATAAGTAAAATCAGACCTATCAAGAGCTGGAGGGGACGGGAGATGGCGATCCATCTGTTTCTTCATGGCTGGACTCTGACTAAATGCCCCATGGTCCGATTTCTGCCTCAAAACTCGTGGCTTCTTCCCTCCTATTGCACAGGGGGATGGCCGCTCCCTCGAGAACACGATACGCCCAATCAGAGGAGAACTGTTAGTATGGTGAGATGATGCAGGAGGGGCTGGGGGTGGGGGCTGTGAGGTAGACGGGCGTGGCTGCGGGTGAAGAGGCGAAGTCACTGTATGAGGGGTGTGGCCCCCAAGCCGTGCTGCCACTCCATTTGCAAGCCGAGGAGTCCTTGGGATGGCAGCTGGTGAGGGTGGAGTCGCCATGGTAACAGCCGCAAAAGGTGCTACACCAGCATGAGTATGTGAATGCGTGTGGATGCCCATAGGTAGCTCAGCCTCTTTTGTGAGTGCAGAAGCAGTATCGGTGAGGCCTTTTGATAAAAGATGGTTCCTAATAAGCAGCAGCAACTCCTTTTCGGGGAACGTAATACGTGACTGTGCAACGACATTCGCCCGCTGCAGCCGTGCTAGCGAAACATCTGTACCAATTAGTAGCGGCTTCCCAGACACTTGCTCTATAAGCTCTGCTGCATATTTGCAAAACCGCACATGCTCACTACGTTTGTCCTGAAGTACAGGTTCCTTCATCAGCTGCTGGATTTGTCCACTGCTAAACAGAGGCAGCTTGCTGATGATCTGTCGCACTGTGGCGCTACGCGCTAACCCAACTAGCGCTTTGCACGCAAGTGCTCGAATCTGGTCTGCATCTGTGATGGGCATTTTGACAGTCAGCAGAGAGAGCAGTACTTTGATGCCGTTGTTGGACTGGACCACGTTCCACATTTTGGCCAAGACGCTCTCACTGGCGCGGTGAGTCTGGGGCAGGCGACGGCGTGGGGTTCCGGCAATGAACTTGCCGATGCTGGACACACGCTTGTCTGGAGCACACACACAGTTGATCACCACCTGCAGGGCTGACTTCTGGATTTCCGCATCATTGACGAATACCTCACCCTCAGCTACAACCAGCACAATGCTCATGCCTGCACATATACAAAAGCAAGCAATCACAAATTATGGCATAACCACAAACCATCCCATATCCTAAGAGATGTGTATGAAACTTATTGTATTACTTGGGAACAAGTATTGTTTAACTTTATCCTATTCTGATACATAACGCAATCAGCTCTTGGCTCATTTTCACTGTAGTGTTAAGATAACCATAATTCCTTGGCAGACCGTATAAAGTCATATCAGCTACTAGTAAATTCACCGATGAGAAAATGACGTTTTACATTGACCAGTCTGTGCTTGCACAGCATAAGGATTTTTTCATTACAGTTTCTACTTTCTCAGACTTTGCATACCTCTGCCCTCATTCTTTTTGTGTATCGGCATCATCAGAACAAACTCAAACTGTGTAAGAAGGTATAGCTCTAACTAGGGATGAGAAGCCCCCTTAGAGGTGAGAGATGTCATCCCCACCCTATTTCTCCCTTGATCAAATCAAATCTTAATTTTAATTGGCCTGTTACTGTCTAACTAATTTTGAAATCTATCTATCATCTAATTTGTCACTGGAAATTAGTTATCTATGCATTTAAGTTCTATAAAAGTTGTTAATACATGATTATTGGAGGGTTGTGGAGAGAGCAGTACATTTGTTTATGAGAGGAAATATGTGTGCTTATAAGAGTAAAGGTAAAGGTAGCATTAGACCTTTGAGGCAAGATATTCCCCCCAGACAAAAGAAAAAGGCCCGATAGCAAAAAGGCCTGACAGTGGGGCAAGAAGCTGCTTCTAAAGATTTTCTTTTTTGTGCTTTAAAAACAAAACTGACTCATGTTCCCATTTATTTCCCCTTCACTCTGTGTACATTTACGCATCATCATCCTGTACATACTAAACTGACACAGATATGGTTTGGCTTTCAGTAAATGGACATTGTTAGTAAGGGAGGGCATTCTCCCCACACTTTTCTCTCCCTCCCAACTCCCACCTGTAACGTGATGAAAGTAACAAAAACACCATTTTACAACAATCCCTCACCTACTGTTGAGATGGTAGACCCTCCCTCATCCAACACAGCCACATTCTCAGCCAAAAGAAGCTGAGTTTTTGGGATAACAGTCAGGATGCTGAGGATGTCCAGTGCATATCGCACTGTGTCACTCCTAGGAGAGAAAATATTAACCACAAAATATCAGTTATATCTGTCGGCCAACTAAACACCCTGAAGCTTGTATATACTATAAGGTAGAAAGTACTCAAACCAGGGTAGCTTATTAAAAAGATTAACTTTGCTACTCCTCTTTATTACTTTATTCCTCGTTGTGGCACTGAATGTTAACATAAGAAGCAGATATATTTAGGAAACTATATTTACTGAGCTAGATTTGTAAACGTGCCTTAGGGGTCTCCATACTTAGAACACTGAAATGCCACATCATTCTCTCCTTCTTACCTTCCATAATACGTTCTCCAGTCACAGGCGATGGATATCAGCTGCAGTAGGAGCTGCACACAGGACAGTTTGTGGAAGACCTCTGCAGGCTCCCAGTACAGGCGCACCGGCCCATACTCAATCAGGAACTCCACCATCTCAACCACCTGATCGTGGGTGTAGGAGCAGGGCTGAAACACAAACAAGTGAATAAATGTGTGCCGATTACTAACATGCTTCAGAGGCAAGAATCTTTGAACATAAGTGTACACTGAATGAAGCTGTGGATGTAAATATACAGCTAAATGTGTGTGCGCGCATGAAGGAGAATGAATGTGCCTTAAATGATGGCATTTGGTTAAAAGATAAATGCAATAAAGTAGGCATGTGCAAACTGAAAGAGCTGCAGCTCATACTCAAATAATATAGCGCTAAAATAATAAAAAATTTACTTCCAAATTTTTTTTCCCAACAAATATTAATCCCAACTAGTGGAACAATGTCATTTTCACTGTAAAAAAAACAAAAAACAAAACAAAACAAAAAAAAAACAGAGGCAGCATGTAACAGATCTGAATTTTAATGTTCATTTTGTGAAATACACGCATTATTTTCTCCACAATAATTCAGATTCCCCTCAAGTAGCATTTCTACGCAGCAAGAGATGAAACCTGCACATGAACGAACACAAGCGTGTCTGCTGTTACATTTTAAAAGGGTGAGCGAAATAGTTTCTGAAAATAAGGCTCAATTAGTTAATCCTAAAATAAATAAAGGCTCAAGCAGTCTGCACAGCAGTGAGTCCAAAGACATTTTAGGGCTGACTTTCCTGCAGACAAACGATAAAAACACAAATTGTAGCTGTTCTTTTGCAGGCGTGCAACGGTGATCTTTCTTGTATTTGCACAGGATTAGTTTTCCTAGCTTGTGTGACGATACTGTTGCATTGTACAGCCTCAACATGTGCTGCTTGCAGTCAATGTAAACCTGGTTGACGATGAACAGTCATTTTTTCAAAATGCATTTTTAAAAAACCACCTGCCCCCAAATTTTTAGCAGACAGCATACATTTGTAAATTTACTTTTACTTTGTTTAAAAGCTGTATGGTTACAGATGAGTACACACATACCTTGTAGTATGGCTGGGGATGTATAGGTGCTCCTCCCTCAGTGCGCTGCAAAGACTGCTTGACCTGCTCCACTTTGATAGCTAGATGTGCCTCAAAGTACCTGCGCAGAGCCATGCATGTGTGCTTGGCTGTCTGTCTGCTGGAGAAGATCTCATCATCACTCAACAGTGCCCCCTGGTCTTCTGGGTTAAGGATCTCCAGCGTGCTTATCTGTGCACATTCACAACAACAAAGAAAGATCCATAAGACTCAGCATATCAGGACTATGTCCCATGATACAAGGGATGCAATATGTTTGGCCATTAAGATCAATAAGACCCATGTTATAGTAAGATCACTAGCAGTAATGAGTTTGTGTGTCTGTATGTGCACATACGCACCAAGTTGACAAGACGTCGCAGGCCATCTTGCTTGTCAAACAGCTCGAGCACAGCGCGAAAGGAGAAGCAAATGGAGAAGAACATGGTGGCATGGCAGCAGCCAGAGGCATGAGAACACTCCAACAGCCACAGAGTATAACTCACAACTTCAGCTAGCAGAGAGTGAGGCAGCATACACACCTACAAGAGACAGAAAACACTAGTAATTACAACCAAATAGCATAACAAATCAGAAGTCCCCATTTGTTTTATTCAGGCATTTTCTGAGTCAAGACAGGATCATCCTTCGCAGTGCCTCAAAATTGTAAGACAAGCTGCATACACATGAATTATAATCTGAAGCAAGGAAAGAGTCTCTGAAATCATGTTAAATCATGTCATGATATTTTCTTTCTATATTTGCTCATAGTATGCAAGTTTTTAACTTTAAAAATAAAAGGTCTGACATCTAGGTGAAATGTATACAGTGCTTTATTCTCAGCAACAATTAAATTACAGAAACAGAGCAGGGCTGCTTCTTCTTTGCTATGCGGCATCAATAAATAAAAAACACCTGTAAATGCTAGCTAACACTATTTACTAGCAGAAAGCAGTGGCCTTCCTTACACCATGATAACTATCAGCCGTTAGGAGTAAGACGGTCAAGGATTAAATAAATAATGTTAAGTTCACGTCTGCCCATCTTTAAGCATTCAATAGTTTTATACTAAACATACATGGCATTTGCTATTGATCTACTGAACACTAGGCCTGAAACTAGTGGGATTTTAGCTAAAAACGATTAGGCCGTATTCAAAATACAGAATACGCAGTTTGAATCAGTAAGTAGTTACAGGGTCAAGATATCAACCTATAATATGGATTTGTGCAAACTGTGGTCATTATAGCAGGCTATCGAGTTTTCAGCCGACTGTTTTTTTTTTAGCTAGCTAACATTAAGTTCATGTGAGATAAAGAAACAGAGGATCAGGCACAAAAACATGAACGCTAGGTAGCTAAAGAGCCAACTATTTTAAGAAACAGTCACACCAGTATTAACTAATTAATTAATATATATTATTGTACTATATATAGCTAACACAGGTGTTTGATTATAACGCACTTTTATACCCTTGAACTCTATAAATAGTTATTCTGAGGTGGCAGCTCTAGAGGGCCAGTCAGGGGAGAAGATTTTTGCCATGAACTCCTTGATCTCTTGTAAATCTGAATAAAAATAACCTGTTACTATACAGGGAAGGACAGAAATTAGCTGAAAGACTGACAGAGCCGAAGAAACAGGTCTGATAAAGGTTAGTAATCAAGAAAAAAAGCTAGCGAGTGCTGTTTAAGCTTTTAGGTTGTTTTTCCTCTTTTATTTTGATGTACAGAGATGTAAATGGGGAACGCAAACAGGCCTACTGGTGATCGGAAAACAGCCTAGTGACACTACACCGTGGCTTCAATCCCAACACAGATTGAGATACAGAACGGATTTTTTTTCTATTTAGTCTCAGGCAATGCACAATCAACTTGCAAATTTTGAGTAGTATTTTACTAGTCGAATTACTTTAGTTTGTTAGTTTTCACTTGTGTCCATCCCAAACAGTAGACCAGTCTACACAATGCAGTTGGTGTGCTTGTAAGCTCCATTGTGCATACCACCTACCCTCTCCATAGCATCCTGATTGTAGGCTAGGTAATACAGACACAAAGAGACTCCTGTAGCAGCCATAGAGGGCCGCGGGATTTCCAGAAGTTTCTGCACTCCACCATGAGCCACAAACTCCGCTGCAAACTTCTTATGCAGCAGAAGAGAGGCCAGGTACTGCCAAAAAAAGAAAAACAATTTTGAAGGGTACACAATTTGAATCTGTATGTGTATGGTGACTGCTTTATTGGAAAGCTTCCTGAAACAACAGGGGAAAAAAGTACACCCATTTGTGATTTCAATCAATATTTCCAATGTGTTTACTCTAGGCTATGAGTCAGCCTAGTCTAACCTTGAGTCCAGATTACATAACACCGTTTAAAGTGTTACCTTGAGACATGGTGTGTTACCTTAAGGGCTTCAAAGGTTAGCCGGACATCATTGGTCTGTTTGAGGTCCATGTAATGCATGAGAAGCTCCCGAGCACCAAGCTGCATGAACACAGCCAATAGCTGCAGACAAAACAGACTAGTGTAAGAAACACAAATGTGGTATATTCACCTCTAAGCTGGAGTCCTGATGTATTAATACTGGTTAACTGCCAGGCAGTCCTGAAATGATCAGAAGAATCAGATTAACTGCAATTTAATTCTTTAAGATTAAAACGCGCCTTCAAATTTGAGCCAAAAAACTGTTTTTTTTACAACCTCACCATCACTGAGAAAAGATCAATCTAAACAAAATATTTTAGACACCACTAAAATAAACTACAAAATTAGCATTTTAAGGCCAAGTAACATTTACTTCTGATTAAAAATTCATTTCACTATTAACTGTTAGAATATATTTTATATTAGCTCTTCCTTCTGCTACGTACTTTCACGCACTGAAGCCAAACCATCACACACTTAATCTCCGCTTGCTTCCACCTTGTATGACAGCTTCATGAATCAGACGCAGAGCAGTTTGTAAGTTATTAAAGGCAGTGAAATCTGTTCTTTTTTACGCATCTTTTGATGAATAAAGGCCTTATTCTATGCGCTGCTTACAGTAGTGTAAGAACGTTTCTGCAATGTCAGATCAAGAGGAGTTTTGGCCCCTTGAAGCATTCCCATTTGACTGGACTAAGCTTGGGTGACTTGCTATTATCACTGCTTAACTGCACGTTTAGTACAAAAGAATTCAGGTACAACTACTTATTAAATGTTTGTGAAAAGCACCAAGTTAATAAAAATGAGATTTGAGATGGAAAGATGGCAAAGTCACAAGATTCTTTGGAAAGAAAATGGGTAGTCTATGTATAGTACAGGATTACAAACCCTCCTGTCAACACATCTGTCTGTTAGTGGGTGCTGCGGGAAACAATATGATGCCATCATGTGGCCAAAAATAATTATATCTTATTTATACAAACGATAACATATATTGAGATATTTACATGTGTTAAGCATAAATGAGCACTTGTTTTTTCATATGAGAGCAATTATATCATCTAACAGAATAATTAAGGAAAACCTCCCAACAGTTTAAAAGAATGAATATCACCTAATCCTGTTCGGGAGTGCAAAAAAGCATTACTGTTACCTAAACACAAACTTACCTCCTGGTACTCTCCAAGAGGTGTGAGGTACTGCAGAATAAGGCGCTGCTCTATGCCAGGTGTGAGCGGGTACAGATGGTAGTTATTCCCGATCACCCACGGACTCATCTCAGACCAGCTGCTGTTTGACAGCTCGCTGAAACTGCGCTCAGGCTCTGGCAATGAGAAATTTAGCTTCTGCTTTGCCTTTCTTCCATTCTCCCTTTCTAATCTCTTTCTCCAATCCCTCACTCCCTCCCCAGGGCCATCAGGCTCATCTGTCTCTGACTGGAGGGCCGAAGCAGGTTTCATCAGCCCTTTGATGCCCAAGTTGGCTCGCCCGCTGCTTTTCTGAGCGGAACCGGGCTGGGAGGAAATCTCGCCATCCGAATCGTGCACGAAGCTGTTCTGCTCAGAGCGCGTGTTTGAAGGGCTGGTTTGGGTACAGGGGGAGAACTCGCCATCAACCGCCTCCTCATCCACTGGAAGGAGGGGCTCAAGGCTCTTGCGGGGGCTTGGCCGTATGAATTCCTTCCTGTTTTCGGTGTCTTTCTCCTGAAGCTCTCGTAGCCTCTGCAACATTAACGGAACCTACAGAAGAAATGCATCAATGAAGCTAAGTCACAAGGAATAAACTCTTCACATTCACATGAACTGTAAAGTAACAACAGTGAAATTCCACTCAGCTCAGCTAAGTAACTGTAGTATCCTACATTCTCCTTATGCCCCACCCAAGGTATATTCAAAGGTATAATATGTATGTAGTTTCATGTATCAAAAACATTTCATTACATTATAGTTCATTTTCCAGCTTCTTTATCCTTAGAATTTAACAGGCTGCTTTGTTACTGTGCCTTTAAGATATGTAAATGACCTCTGTTCTGACTGGCTGCCTTGTACTGTGCCTCACTGTGTCTGGAAAAGCAGTCCTGAAAAACGTCAATACAAACTTCAGGCAGAGCTAAACTGCTGTAGCCTAGTTTCTATATATGGACTGACACTTTACATAAAACATCAAACTCATACTATAAAAGCAATGATGTTTTTTTTATTTTACATTACATGGGCCCTATATTTGAACAGTACTATGGGAAAAGCAGGGAGTTCTTGAGTAAGACATATGCTTTTGATTAACGTTTAAAACAATATTCAAGCCTGAGAAAAGCTGGTGATGGACAACCAGAGAAGTAACACTTATCTGGGCTCTGCATTAACTGTCTGCAATTTCTGGAGTATTTGACACCATGAAAACATGACAGCGTGAAGGGGCACACACCAGCACAGAGTTCTCCTCACGGTAGTTGGCAGCAATGTCCTGATTCTCCATAGCCCCAGCGAGCAGACCTGTAGCAAAGATCCTTAGAGGCTGCTCTGCTTCTCGGGCCCATTTAAATAAGCGCTCCACAATCCCCTCCTATAAAACAGAGACACAGAGATTTACAGTCTTGCTTCACTGTACATTTATCAGTCATAGGGTCAGGCTGCATAAAAATGTATGTTTATGGGGGGTCCAGGACCTCCTAATTAACCTCTTGGACCCCCTGCATGTCTCAAAATCTAAATTCTGGGGGTCACAGAAGATAAACTTATGACGTTACGCTGTCTGTTAGAGGAAAATAGAAACTCAAACACAAATTTAGGAAAATGTTCTTGTTAAACTGCTTCACCCACAGTTGGCAAGGTTCAGTCTTTGGTATTCTTACCAGAGTCTGCCTTAGGGTGGCGCTGTAGCAAAGTGGTTCTCTTATTTGGTCCTTCAGAGCCTAGCAACTGTAACTATGCCTAGGATACCTCTGAAAAACTCTACAATATGCTATTGCATATTTGTAAATCTGAAAACTTGCTCAATTCCCAAAGAGTTTGGGTGGAAAGAGCGAATTTCTCAAACGGAAGACAAAAGAGGAGAAGTGGAATCTCTCAGTAAATGTGTGGAAGAGCGCATTAGCAAACTAGAAAAGAGCATTTCTGGAAGAAAAACTATTAAATCAAACATTTTGCTGCCACTGAAGCTAGCATCAGCGCTGCTGTGGTGAGGGAGTTAGCAGCCAGCCAACAATAGATTAGGCAGCCAAAATGGGACCCCCCCCACCATGCCTACTAAAAGGTATTTTTACACATATGTCTGACCTTGGGATGCAGTAATATGGGAATTGAGGGATGATACCAATATGCAATATAACAATGCCAAACAATATGTCTTAGGATCTCACATGAAACAGGTTTTGAACAACACGCCAAATACACTGCTCATAAGTGTGCTCAAAGTGTGCATCTTTTGATTACTACTCAGAAAAAGAAATGATCTTTCTTACCTTCTCCTGAAAGACCACTGCAGTCTCAAGGCCTGGCATGATGTTCAGCAGCAGTCTACAAGCTGCGGTGTTCAGAGGGACTTCTCTACTTGTCATGACATAGGAGTTCACCAACTATGACACACAACATCAACACAATTAACACACATGCTGCCTGGCATCATAATAAAGACTGCGTCAGTGTTTGCTACACAACCTGAAGCACACAAAAAGAAAAAAAAAAAAAGAATCCATGTAGTGATTTCATGGCAATTATAGATTTTTAAATTACTAAATCAATAAGTGGTCCCACCCCTACTCAGCACTGCTTTTCCTGGATTTGATAAAAACTACATGTTGAAAAGTATCCATCTACAAACACATCACACACAAAGCAGACACGACATTGCCAGTGTTATGCTTTTGGAAGTCATTTTAATCGAGCCTTCCACATCTTGTCAAACTAGTGGGGCTGCCTACCTCAACAAATCTTAAGAGGGCCAAAGCAGAATATAAACAAGTAGGGCTGGGCAATATGGAAATAATAATAGTGATAAATGTCACAACATGCCTCTCTGAGCATATCATGGATACCATCAGCACTTAAAAATCTTCATAACTGCATGTTTGATTAGAAACAAAGCATAATTAGTCATGTTTAACTGGATTTAGAGCAGCTAAGCATATGAAAAGCTAAATAAAAATTACTGTACTCGCATAATTTTGATATGTTTTTATGCCGAGCTATTTGCACTCTTCCGACTTACCAGATGTCAATATATATATATATATATATATATATATATATATATATATTGTGACACTGTGTATCGTGAAAATTGCCATATCACCCAGCTTTACGGACCATATCGTCCTCCAATTCAATTACCAAGTGTCATTCAATAACTGCCAAGAAATTTAGCATTTCTGTGAAAATCTTTGAAATGTGTGATTTTTGAAAATCAAACTCATTTTTTTCCTCATGAATTTAGTAGGGCTCTAACTATGTCTGAACAGACACAACTGACTGCGTCTCTTACCGCATTCATGAAGTCATCATTCTTAAACAGGATCTTCAAAAGGTGGCCAAGCATGCACTCTGGGTCTGCCCGGCCTAATTCAACAGACATCCAGAACACAGACATATGAAAAACAATCTGAGACTACCCAAAACAAAACATTCAGCAAAGAAAGTAGTCATGACACTAACAGTTGTGTCAGTGAGTACAAATGCAAAGAATACAAAGCCAGCCACATAATACCTGGATGGCGGTCATCAAACGGATCAGGATCAGCCTTGTGATACTCCTCCGTCTCTCTCTCGACAAGCTCCGAGATCCTGGAGATCAATAAAAAAAAAAATCTGAGTCATGACATTCAAGTCACTGAGCAATTACTCATTCGCTGTATCAGTGTGTTCTCTTACTTGGCAAGTATGTTAACCAGGTCCTGAGTGCTGCCTTGTTGCTCTCGCTCCCACTGCTCCAGCAGAGCAGTCAGCTCTGCTTTGGAGTCCACGCTGCCCTCGGCGGCAGACGCCATCCCCCTGCCTAAACGAGACAGAATGGGAGAGACAGCTGTCATGTTGGCAGTTTTGGGGTCTGGAGCACAACGAAATGAGCCAGCGAGGTGAATACAATAAAAATGCAGCAAATTTAAAATAAATACAACCATTATGGCAGGAAATTTCAACTGACTTAACACAAAAATAAAACGCAAAAAGCCAAGCAAGTGGGATTTCCTGACCCCTGTGGTTGTGTCTCAGAGACGTTGTGTTCAGCGTGACAGCCACAGACCTCTCTAGGGACAACAGGTGAACAGCAGGCGCTCAACGCGCTCTTAAAAACACAAACCCCGCCAACTCTCTCCAAAAAAAAACTTGGGCTAAACAGACCTTAACAGACTTAGTATTTATATTCTTAAATAAATTCAGAGCTGACTTACACGGACATTATTTAAGCTGGAAAGAGAAAAATATCAAAGAACCCTTTACATCCCATCTACGAAGAAACAGCTCCTACAGAACCATTTCTAGCGGTTCCAGCGGTCATTTTATTCACTTAAGAGGCTAACCTCAACTTTCGTATAGCTTTGCGACAAACGCAGTGGAATATAAACGCTTTCACCCTTGACTACCTTAAGTTATCGTTACCTCACTTGCTGGATCATTCCAAGGCCGTCAAAGTGACACGTTTGTAGGTTGACTGCACAGCTAGCTTAGATAACCGGTTAACGCTGTGAGCTACCGTTAACTTAGGGGTTTTGTTCACAAGAGAACATGCAGCATGTCCAAACACCACATAACGGTTAAAGTTAAGGAGTTATACACACCGTTCAGCTCCTTTTTATACGAGCAAGTATCTAGCTATACCGCTATATCTGTGTAAATTCAGAGTTAGCTGGGTTCGCAACAGTTGAAGTGACAAGTAAACTAGCTCGCTAGCAGTACACAGAACATTTTTACTCAGATAAGAAGCGAATTAAGACAGTGTTGAAGCTTCATAACGATTCGCTTAAAATTAGCTTGTTTATAGAGTCCGACAGCCACTTTAGCCAGTTAGCTGCAACACAGCTATGTAAGTTAGCTAACGCTAACAACACAGCTCAACTCTTTCCACATCTGTCATCACAGATATCTAGCCACATGCTAACTAGCATGTAGCGTATGATAGCATGTCTTACCTCAGTATTCCGCCCAGTCCCTGCCCGCTGTTCTCACTCCACTCCCTCTACAACTGAGCGAACGGAGTAAGACAAGCTGCTCTACTCGACACTACAGCGCTATCAAGGCTCGCTCTGTTCCAGAACGCGTCTTTGTGAGATCATTCAGGTCCAGACTGCCGTGTGCATGAAGCTGATCATGGCGACCACGTTCCGAGCGTCACGTCTGTGCGACCGCGGTCGTGTTTTAATGATGCAGGGCATGTTTTCGTTTGGGCTGCGAATGCGGGCCGCTGATTGGTCAGTGCTCACAGCGATTTAGAAAACAGAGATTTGGTTCAGTTTACCGAACCGAGCCTTTCGAAGCGCCCGTTTCATGAATCAATGAATGGACAGTTTGATTTACATTTTTTATAAGTGACTCTAGAAGTGACCCTTTTTATAGATGGTCAACACTTAAGTTGGACTACAGCTCAGAAAGAAATCAGCTGTGGCCTTTTTACATACATGTAATTGTGCCGTAGCAAATATGTTGAACTTAAGTGGAGAGAGAAATGTTTTTGCTGTCAGAACAGAACCCTGCACAGATCAGCACGCCGTACACAGTGCTAGAGCAGTATAGATAGCTCCAGTGTTGGGGTCACTATTCAAAAAAATTGATCCATTACAAGTTCCTGTTCATTATTTTACTTCTGTGTTACTCTGTATCAAATTATCTCATTATATTGGCAGATACATTTATATTGGCAAAATGATCTGCCAATATAGTGTGATAATCTCACTAAATATATTTACTTAAGTAAAAAATGTCTAGAATTAAGTTAAATAATCTTATAACATTTTTAGAGCAATCTTAAAATAAGAAATATTGGATATAACAAGTAGACTTAAGATGATTTTACTTGCCAAAATATATTTTTTTGCAATAGAGGCCCAGAATCATCAAATACGCATAACAGTTTTGAAATAGTGTACGCAAGCATTAGCAAACTGAGCTCTAGAAATAGAGTTTTGCTAAAGGTTAAGTGAATTTTGTATTCAATCAAGGGGACAAATGTTGCAAAATGTTGGTGCAAAGAGTGTTGCTGCACTGTGTGAAGAGTTTTGAAAAAGAGTACAATGAGATATTACAATGAGATGTCAGTCAGTCTGATGGGCGCTACTACTACTTATAACTGTAGTAGACTGTATAACCAGCTACAGTCTACAGAAAGAAAGCAAGAATGTAAGCAACATCAAAGAGATTGGTCTTAATTTTTTACAATGTAATATTGTAATGTTGTAATGCTTTTACTATTGTAACAATGTAATATTGTATGGTATGAGGTTAAACTGATAAAGATTATAATTATTTTATTACAAGCCATCAGTCAGCAACACGGCTGCAGGTTTTCATTCTAACCAATAGGGTTGCACGAGAAATCACATTTTTTTTTGATATCATGATGAGTTTCTGTTTGAGCGTGCAAGGTAGTAGTCACGACTGTCACAACAATCGTTTAAAAATGAAACAAAATAAATAAATAAACAACAAAATATATTTGTTCTTGTGTGCCTATATAGAAAATAATGTTTTGTAGCGTTTATGCACAAAAAATGTGCTTGCAGTACTGATAGAAGTAGCTATTAGTACTTCTTTTCATTTTTGATAGCACAATAGTAAATGGTGCTTTTGTAATTTTATATTTTGTTATTTGCTTAAACGAGAGGTTAGTTAGATTTCTGTTTACATCTCTCAAAAAAGTCTGAACTTGTGTCACATCCAATCAGAGGCACACAATTTATTGCTTCTCATATCGTCATTGTGATATCCGACAGCTTTATTGAACATTTTGCGGTTTACACAACATCGTACAGCCCTAACTAACCAATCAGGAGAAACCTCATATAACTAATCAAATGCTCGATCCCAAAAGCCTCACAACCCCCTAAGTAGCACACTATGTTAGTCTTAAAACGGTGCACTGTGTTTTGAAATGTTGGCTTTTTCCTCCAAATAGTGCACTTTTTGATTAGATTGTGCACCCCTGCGCTGGACGCTACAAACAGTTCGATTCAGTATGAATCGGTTCAGATGATTTACTGAGAAGAACCGGTTCCTGTGACTGGTTGATGATGAAAGAAGCGCACGTAAGCAGGTGCACTGAACTCACCTAGTCTCGAAGTCACGAGTCGTAGGCGTAGTATCATTTTCTGAATTTATTCGTACTTGGTAATAATCCTGAAGTTTGTCTTGACAGCTTGAGTCCGAACGAGGTGAGCCTGGCAGCGTAAAGCCGGACATTGTTGACTTCTGACAGCTGCCGTGTTGAGATAAACTTAATCACTGAGCTGAGGCAGGCGTGGGAAAGGGTGTGGAAATAACCACGTCTAATATAACTGCTTCAACTCACACTGACAGGGACTTTTTAACTTAAACTTAAAATACTGAAACAAGCCTGTAAAGTCCAGTCTTCTACCATAACAGAGAAATAAAAGGTTAATATACTAATAGAATAGACTAGAGCTTGTGTTGTAAATGTTTTAGAAATGTCTAAATATGTATTTCAATAGATGCATTAAAGTTGTCCAAAAAGATTAATAGTAGTACTATTGTACAGTCTTTACAGGCAGAAAACATAAAGCAATACCTTTTCACAGCAGTGTTCAGTGTAGAAATAAGTTTTTTTAAACTAGTGCTTCAATAATGCTCCCTGTATTTTCACCATGGTAGCTAGCTAGCTAGCTACGTTAGCGTCAAGCTAGTGGGACTAACTCAGAGATATAGGGGATTTTTAGGTCAGCTTTAGTTTAAATACAGACATTTTCGGCCCGTAACATTTTCGGTAGGTAAGTAACATTCTTTACTTTGTATGTCTGATTTTTTAGTGACGCTTTATTTAAAGTAAACTATATACCCAATATACATGGAAAACACATTTTGTTAACTGATGACAGAATGATTTATTGCTTTATTGAGTGAGGTTTATTTATGTGATAATGGAAGGCCATTTTGAAACACAGTATAAAGTCTACACACTTGATTTTCTGTATATTATATAACTGACTTCTGCAAACAAAAGCAAACAAACATGATTTGATAAAAATGAAAGCCTTTTGTTTAACCAGAAAAAAGGAAATAAGCAGCGACAGATAAGAAAGTCTGTTTGGCTGTTTCAGTAATAGAATAATAATAAAATATATTCATTAATGCTCTCAGATATATAAGCCTTAATAAACTCTGACTACCAAAAGCTTTGATTTCCATCTCGATTATAATGGATCATCTGAAGGTTTGAATCATTTATACACCATCATAACTCATCAGTGAGTTTCCCAAAAATGCTGTAGCACGAAGATCATTCAGAGAAGGTACAGCGGGTATCCCTTTCAACACTCTCTCTCTAAGGGTTGGTTTCCCAGATGAGGATTAGGCCTAGTCCTGGACTACATTTTGCTTTTACAATGGAGAATCAAGGACTAGCCTTAAGACTATACCCTAAGTATTTGGACATGCTAACAATTTAACCGTTGGTAAACTTGAATGATCTTCTTTAGATCACTTCATAAAATTTCTAAAATGATATTTGTTTCAGAGAAAAACACTTTTAGCACAACATCAGTCTTAGGGTAGACTCTTTGTGTGGAGAAAGCCTGAAGAAGAATTGCAACCAGAGTGCTGTAAAGCACTGATGTAAAAACATCAAATATTTTTCTTACAGTGCTATTGGTGAGCTTGTGTTCATTGACAAAATCCTGAACTCAAAAGTTTACGAAGACATTTTGAGTGGAAACCTGTAAAAGTCTGCAAAGAAATACCGCAAATGACAAACAACACACCAGCCGCCTTTTGTAGGAATACTTTCAAAAGTTACTTTTAGAATGGTGTGTTTAAAATAATTTCCTAAGACAATAAACTGTATACATTTTTAAGTATGGCACGAATGTCCGATTACCGCTGTGCATGAGAACTAAATAGTGTTAGAAAGAGGGGAACAGTCTTTTGGATTGTCACCTGCAGTGGCATAGATCTGTATAGATGTAGTTCCCCCAAAAATCCAATGCACCAATTTCTTTTTACTTTTGACTTATTTATAGGCTCCATATAACAAAATATTACTCTTTTCTACTATATAAGTAAGACGTGGAGCTGAAAGAAATGATATCACTGTAACACTGTTACAGTATGTTCTATTTAAATAGAATATAAATTGGCTTAAATTCATGTTTATCCCAATAATGTCCTTAGCTGAATTTTTAAATTTTTTGGGTTCGTATGTTCTCTGAGCTAGTCTGAATAAAAAAGAAGAATTTCTATTACTTACTTATTATCGTCATATTCAGTTCTATTTTTTGGTCACATAGGACTACAGCGTTTTAACAAAACAACAGACAATCCTAATTTCATTGTGAATAAAAATTATATGAATGTGCACTGTAAGATACATAGTCTACACAAGACTATATAAAAATTAAAGTCTAGACCAATCAGACCAATCACTACTGTGGCATTTTACTTATCACGCTAAATCTAGTTGTTGAACATGAATAGGTTAATCGTTTATAGGTAAGAATCCCCCAAGAATAATATGCTCCTCCCACCCTTATTTTCTTCCCTGATCAAGAGATGGGGCCAAAACTACTCTTGACATATTTATTGAAAAGTTATGATCTAATTAATTTGGAAAATTTCATCTAGATCACTGCATTCCTGAAATTCATTCCCCTCCATTTTTTGAATTTGGGTAAGAGTGATTTATGCTTACGTTTTTAACTACATTTAGTGTGTGTGTGTGTTGGGGGGTGGATGGAGAAGTACATTTGGTTTTGATAGGAAAACAAATGTTTTTACTTTCTTTGTTTTGGAGTAAAAATGAAAAAAAGAATATGAAGAATCCCCCACAAAAGGCCCACTTTTTGATTGTTAGCCAGAATTAGGCTACATTTTAGCCATCCTGCTGGAGAGGAGTTCAGAGTTACAGCCACTAATTACTTACTTACTTATTTATTTACTTACAATTATTATTTTTACTTACTAAACAAGTGTTGAATGCTATTGGCTATTGTTTTATTTAAGCTGTTATTTTTGTAAATAATAATAATAATAATAATAATAATATATTGTATCACAGCTCATTAAAATGAATTGGAATCACAAGGCATGGATTGATAGAGGCCTCAGATAATTTTAATATTTTTAGTGTTCTTCAATTAGTAACAATTTTTCAAAAAAAGCAAAGGTTTTTGTCTGACTCGTCATACAAGTTATACTTTTGTGTAAAACTTAGATGGTGAATTGATGCAAAATTTAAAAGGGGGTGTCTTCCCCTAGTTATGGGATAGTGGGGCAAGGTGGCCCTTTACAACACAAGATTTCCTTCTTTTATGAAAAAAAAGTAACGCTTTTACAGTTTACATCCCTAACTGTGTGTTGGGCTATGCATCCTGTACGTGCTAAACTTGTGCACAATTATGATTTAGCTTTACAGTAAGTGAGAGTTGCTCTTAAGAGGGCGTTTACCACTTTTTCCCCCTTACCAAATATTTTCTGTTGGTTAACTCGAAGCTAGTATTGTGGTCTCCCTGATTTGCTGATTTGGACAAGGAAACACAAGTAAACAATGATGTAATTATCATGATTCGCTTTTATTTACAAACTTCAGGAAAAAAATATAAAAACAAACAAACAAACAAAAAAGAATCAGAGAGAACAGATTGAACAAACGTTCACTTTAGACGCACAGGTCAGTTTGATTCGAGTGCTTTCAGACTGTGTTGTATGTCTGACCAGTACGCCTAGGTCTTTCCTTGCTGAACAGGACAGAGATCTGCTCCTACACCCAACTCTTCCTCTAATAAACAATAAATACCTCCATTCAAGTAAAGAGTAGTAAGCAAAGGACATGGAACACTGGGGCGTCTTGCTTGTCTAGGCCATAACGTTCTTGGAACATGGTCAAGCTCTCTGTGAAAGTCACTGCCTCGCTCTAGAAATTCATTAAGCCACTGACCACAACTGACCCTGGTTCATTGGTCCAAAGGCTTTCACATGCTTCTGCCAGGTGGCAATCTCACACACACACACACACACACACACACACAAACACACACACAAACACACACACACACACGCACATCCCTTCCATCAGTTACAGCTGAGGCATTTTACTGTGAGAACGCGAGCCCCTCATAAAAACAAAATGTACAAAAATAAAAAAATACAAACAAATAAATATGCATCATTATAAATAAATTAATTTGGTAAACTGTCAAAGAAAAAGAAAAACACAGGTAAATTTAACTGCAAAAAATGGATACAAAAGAAAAAAAGAGAAACAAATCGAGAATAGAACGACGATAAGTCACACGATAAGGTACAATTCAGGCGTTTCCTGAACAGTTGTCCAATCAGATTCAAGCACACAGGAGGTGAATGTTTTGAATGGGGGAGCAGGGCAGTGTGGGGAACAGTGTGGGCCTGACTGGGACATTGTCTGAAAACAAAGCGGAGCAATGCCATGTACAAATACAGACAGGAGGTGAGGTTCCAGCATTATTCAGTATACTGTACCTTTCACGTAGTAGCAGTGTTCATATTTGGTGTCAAATGTTACATCACTTACAGCATAAATTTGACTGGAGTGGAAATCTCCCAATTCACAACAAGATAAAGGGGAATTCCAACATTTCTTACAAACTTTACTTCATGATGATGTAAAGAAAGTTATTTGGAGTATTTTCATGCGAGTCAGAATTGTTTACAGTGGTGGTGACAGGAACCGGAGTTTAATGCCTCAAAAAGTTACCTCACAGAACATTATTACATGAAGTGGTTATAAATTTGTGGTGGAGAGATGCATACAGGGCACTGAAAGGCAAAATAGTCCCAAAGGAAAACTTGCTTTTTTAGATTTAGCAATATTTTACCATTACCAACATCACATACTAAGAACTCAAAAGACAGGTGTAGGTTGGCTGGCTATTTTGGAATCTAAATAAAAAGGATATTTCTGTGGTATAGACATTGTGACCCCTGGTTCCTATTACCACCACTGAAAAGAAATAATTTCTCTACAGTGCACCATTTCACATCAAGCCAACGGACTTTGTTTATATATCAATGATTGAATTATGCAGAGATGTGGGAAAATTGGTGGAATTCCCCTTTAAATGAGCAGTTTCAGTGTCCTTGTTCATAAAAAATGGAATGGAATTTGGTGGATTTGGTTCAAAGACAATGATACACTGTTAAAAAAGGGTTCTTTGGAGCGATTCCATAGAAGAACCACTTTTGGTTCCGTTAAAAAAAATTCAACGGATGGTTCTTTAAAGAATGCTTTTTGTAAACTGGATGTTTTAGTGTGAAGAACCTTTTTAAAAGTTTAAAGAATAACGTAAAGGTTTTACACCAATTGAAGGGTTTTCCTAGAATCCAAGGAAACCTTTATTTTTAAGAGTGTACCCTCTTTGGGGAGAGGAAATGTCCTATTTTGGCACACCTTTACATGAAATGATTTGATTTTGGTTTTAATTTGTGCACATTATGCAAGAAGCAATGGGACGTTTCAGCAACCGTGTCAGGCAGGGTGGGGGTGAAAAATGTATGACAGGACACAGCGACCCATATAAAGAGACTAGGCAATGTTAGCATGTCTTAGCGCAGGCTCGAGTAAGACTACAGGGTGAGAGGTAGGCATTAGGAGCAGTGCTCCTGAACCCTGCACCCTTACCATTACATTCAGTGAGACAGCAGCACAAGGCATCCGAGTTTTAGCATACCTTTGTTGTATCAGTATCACGTTTCGTCGCCACTCTGTTTTGAAGTGATTTAGAAAATACTTTAAAACGTTTCTGAATGGGACTAATTCCCTTTGTCCTGTATCGTAGTAGGCTGAAATAGAGTTCACCTGCTTATGACCAGTGTCAAGAAACATTAAAATGTTCACGAAACACAAAACACCATTCATCAACATTAACGTTTCAAAAAGGGAGTGGTAAGTATATTCACACACATGAATGAACATAGTCATCAGTCTAAAGTCTGTCTCTAAGGCCTGTGCTGGCAACATTGTGGTAAAGGCGGGAAGTAAATATACATTCTTATGTTTTTAAGGTCTTCTGTTTATATTTCCTCCTCTTTTTTTAATGTCCGTCTGTTGTGAGCATACAATCTTCACGCCGTGTTCCCATTTATTCAAACGCTCCAGGCTCAGTTGTCCTGTTCTCTTAGTTAATGTAAGTGTGAAATCTGTAACTTTTTTCACTGTCATGATTATGACCAATCAAATCACTAATAAATATCTATTAAACAATCAGAGATATTTTAATATCTGCTTACTAACTCACTAACTTTACTAACCAGGTTTATGAACTCTACAAAACTGCAAACTGTTTCAGAAGAATCCACTTGGCTCCTCCTACAGGATGGGAAGAAGCACTGCAGGTCCAGTCCTAAACCGCTGCCTAAAAGAAGCCCTTAGTCGTCCTTCTTCAAACTCCCTCCCACCCCACCCCCCACCAAGCCACAACTTCGCTCTTTTGACGTTCTTCTCGCTTGTCTTTATAAATAAAATATTCAGCATTAGGATTTTTCACTTTGTCCAGTTTTTCAGTCAGTCAGCATCCTCTACAAACCTTTAATTTGTAACCAGTTGCAACCAGTAATATTTTGGCTGGCTCAGCTTGACCAATCACAGTCTTGGTTCTAGTCTCTTTTCTCCACATCCTTTTACATGGGCCTCCCAAACTGTTCTCCTCTTATTGGCTCACCACTTCAATGACATCATCATCGTTATTGCAAGCGTTCTTGTCACCCTTTGAGCTTACTGCTCCGTTCTCTACGGCCAGGTGGGAATCATGAGCACTGCCTCGTGGGCTGGAGGAAGCATAGTGAGGCAGGAAGCTGGAGCCGGCAGGCCCTGGCGTTGTGGCTGGCAACCCTCCGGGCAGCAGCAGTGGGGGGTACATGCCCATGGGCTGCCTGTATGGCAGCGTGAACCTCGGAGGCAGCATTGCGGATACCCCAGGCCTCATCAGGAATGAGGGAGCAACATTGGAAGTGGAAGAGGAAGAGGAAGAGGGAGCTGTGGCACTAGAGGTGGTGCTGCTGGAGGATGGAGGGGAGGAGCTGGGCAGAGCCCCGCCTCCTAAACCGTAGGCATCTGGAGAGATGGGAAACATGAGGCGGGGATCGCCCATAGGGGCATGGTGTCGATAGTAGGATGACCACATGGAGCTGAGGGAGCTTAGGAGGGTGGGGTTTATGGCTGGGTTGAGGGCAGGATTTAGGCTATATCCACCAGAGAATGGGTAATTCTGTGGAGGATGTTGAGCAGAACCCCTTATCTCCCCAGCTGGTTGCTTAGGGGAGGGTTCGCTGCTAGAAGGTGATGTGGATTTGCGCTTGGTGCCCCGTAGGTCAAGGGGCACCTCCATGCCAGGTGAGGTAATATCATTTTGAGGCAGAACTTTGATAACACCATTCTCTGAGGCCTTCTCTAGATTGGCCATTTCTGAGGGCGGGGGGCTTGGTGACTGGGCTTTGGTGTAGCGCTGAAGCTCGCTCAAAATCTCTGGACTGTCTGGTGAGAGAGGTCGGGCCACGGCCTCAGGGGTAATAACCTTTGGCACATTATGGTCAGGCGACACACTGTCATTTGTGCTTTTATTGATGGAGTTCTCCAGTGAGGGTGACATAACTGTAAGAAAAAGTGAACATGGGACAGTTTTTCTTTATTTGTATTCTCTGCTGTAATTCTTCCGCAATTAACCCTTAAGTAAACCCTAGAGTTATCACTGATTTACAACCTTTAAGGTTGCAATACTGTTGTCTGCCTTGTAATTGCATAAGTAAAAAATGAAACAAACAGACAATCAACAGAGACTAAGATGAGATAGTTAATACCTTTCTTTGTGGTGGAGCTCTCCTCAGCTTGTTTGGTTTTTCCAGCAGCACGGATGGCAAAGATCCTTCCATCACTCGTCCGAATATAGGTTCCTAAAAACGAGGCACAAAGAGACCCATGTTCACTCATACAGTAATATTCTGTTAGTCAAATATGTGAGAAAATAAGAAAAATGGAGACAAACTAAGAATGGATGAGCTAATGAGAGGGAGGGAGGGACAGTCATCACCTTTAGTTCCTCTGATGACATGGATGCTCTCGCCTGCACTGATCCTGGCCTGCATGTCTGAGGAACTGTTAGTACCAGGAATCACGATATCTGAGAAAGAGAGAGAGCCTGATTTTTAGTTTTGAACTACCTTCATTTCGGCTTTAAGTAACTGGTGTGTTAATACTTAAACAGACTTCTCAGTCTAGTCAACACTACAAAATACTGTACTCCACGGTCCTTGAGTCCAGTTTCCGGTCCAGGATTTTACAGTCACTGGCAGTTATGATGCTAGTTGGTTAATTTTAGTTAGTTAAATTAACAGTTCAATTAAGTACCACTGAATACAGAACCAGAAAATGGATTAAAGGTCCAGATTTGAACACCTGTGATATAGAATATACAGTCATGGCCAAAAGAGTTGGCACCCCTGAAATTCTGTATTTCTCCCAGAAAATTATTGCAATTTCACATTTTGTTATACACATGTTTATTTCCTTTGTGTGTATTGGAACAACACGAACAGAGAAAAAAAAGCCAAAAATGATATAATTTCACGCAAAACTCCAAAAATGGGCCGGACAAAATTATTGGCACCCTCAACTTAATTTTTGGTTGCACACCCTTTGGAAAAAATAACTGAAATCAATCACTTCCTATAACCATCAACGAGCTTCTTACACGTCTCAGCTGGAAATTTGGACCACTCTTCTTTTGCAAACTGCTCCAGGTCTCTCATGTTTGAAGGGTGCCTACTCCTAACAGCAATTTTAAGATCTCTCCACAGGTGTTCAATGGGATTTAGATCCTGACTTGCTGGCCACTTCAGAACTCTCCAGCGCTTTGTTTCTATCCATTTCTGGGTGCTTTTTGAAGTATGTTTGGGGTCATTGTCCTGCTGGAAGACCCATGTCCTAGGACGCAAACCCAGCTTTCTGACACTGGGCCCTACATTGCGACCCAAAATCCTCTGGTAATCTTCGGATTTCACAATGCCTTGCACACAGTCAAGGCACCCAGTGCCAGAGGCAGCAAAACAACCCCAAAACATCTTTGAACCTCCACCATATTTGACTGTAGGTACTGTGTTCTTTTCTTTGTAGGTCTCATTCCATTTTCGGTAAACAGTAGAATGATGTGCTTTACCAAAAAGCTCTATCTTGGTCTCATCTGTCCACAAGACATTTTCCCAGAAGGATTTTGGCTTACGTACATTTTGGCAAACTGCAGTCTTGCTTTTTTATGTCTCTGTGTCAGCAGTGGGGTCCTCCTGGGTCTCCTGCCATAGCGTTTCATTTCATTCAAACGGCGACATATCGTTCACGCTGACACTGATGCACCCTGAGCCTGCAGGACAGCTTGAATTTCTTTGGAACTTGATTGGGGCTACTTATCCACCATCCGGACTATCCTGCGTTGCAAACTTTCAATTATTCTCTTCCGTCCACGTCCAGGGAGATTAGCTACAGTGCCATGGGTTGTAAACTTCTTGATTATGTTGCGCACCGTGGACAAAGGAACATCAAGATCTCTGGAGATGGACTTGTAACCTTGACATTGTTGATATTTTTCCACAATTTTGGTTCTCAAGTCCTCAGACAGTTCTCTTCTCCTCTTTCTGTTCTCCATGCTTAGTGTGGCACACACAGACACACAATGCAAAGATTGAGTCAACTTCTCTCCTTTTTATCTGGTTTCAGGTGTGATTTTTATATTGCCCACACCTGGTAGTTTGAACGAGCATCACATGCTTGAAACAAAGTTATTTACCCACAATTTTGAAAAGGTGCCAATAATTTTGTCCGGCCCATTTTTGGAGTTTTGCGTGAAATTATATCGTTTTTGGCTTTTTTTTTCTCTGTTTTTTGTGTTGTTCCAATACACATAAAGGAAATAAACATGTGTAAACAATTTTCTGGGAGAAATAACTTTTCTGGGAGAAATAAAATTTCAGGGGTGCCAATGACTGTAAGTAATTAACCAACACCAAGAAAAAGTCTAAATCTGACACAACACATACAAAGTAAGTGGTTATTATGAACAAATGGATCAAGGGGTGTTGGGAGAGCTGTTATACTGCTACATACTCCAACTGTGATATGCCTGGCAATATGTTAAAACTCATTTGTAAGCTAATAATAGTTATATAGCCTGCATTAACCATGCAGTTGGGAAGTTTTTTGTAAGTACTCAGAAAAGCATATTGTGAAGTATTGTGATGTAATTTATCATGATAATGATAAATATTGTCATAATGCCCAGCCCTAGCTTTAGGGCTCGCTTGCAGTTTGCATATTGCAGCCTGCAATATCAGCACAGCAAAGAACAAAACTGCTGAGCAATTGATCAGCAAGCAATATGTTGAGGAGCCTTAGTGTTGCAATTACTGCAGGTATTTCAGTTGCGTATTTGTGAATGTAAGCACCTGTGGTGATGACGATCTTCTGTACAAACACCCCTGCTTTCTGCAGGTAGGTGACGGGGAAGTTGACTGCAGATTTGGAGCTTGAGGCTGTGGAGGAGGGGGCGGGGCCCTGCTCTGCCTGTTGAGGGATTGTGGGTGCTGGAGTTGCTTGTGCTGAATGAACGCTGGCCACTGGCTTATCTTCTTGTTGTGGAGGAGGCCGCCTGATGTGGGGAAAAAATGAAAGAAATCTTAACAAAAGCTGTGCTGCTTCACTAACAACATGAGAATTATTGTTCTTCCAAAACGATAAGGATTAGACCTTTGCTTAAAGCATATGTAAAATATGTTTATAATACTATGGATGTGATGTGATGACTATTATGCCCCTGAGCCTGTGCTTTTGTTTGCTATTATTTTTCTGATTTGAAGCTGTAATCAGGAGTTGTGGAAGCAGTTATTGAGCCATTTTATGACTGAAATACTCTAACCTTTGTGCAATAAAACGAAAATCTATTCTCATGGATTTCTCACATTGTGCATTTGGATCATTAAACACTGTGTTTAAAGCTCTTCAATTGGTTTTACTGAGAATATTGTGACTCAGTCTGTATGGTAGACTAATTTTATAATGTATCAGAAAAAGAGCTGGGCAATATGACAATGTTTATCATTAGCATGATAAATTATATCACAATATGTCACAAGATGCTTTTCTAAGCATATTGTGGAAATTGTACTGAAAAATCAATACCCAAATGCATATTTGATTAAAAAGAGAGCATGATTAATCCTATTTAATTTGAATGTTGAATACAGGTAATTGGATTCATAGTTTTTGATAGTATTTTTTAAATTGGGCACTACTTTTTCTGTTGTAATCTATTAGATACCAGAAAAAATAAATACTGTGATGTATCATGTATTGTAGTACATCTTGAAGTATCTTGATATTACATTTTGCCATATTGCCCACCTAATTAGAAAAGTACCTGGTGCTACCTGCTGAAATAGCAATATATTGAATAAACTGTTAAAATACTCATTAATTTAGCTTTAGAATCAGGCAGTAATAACAACAGAATTAACCCTTACCAGTTCCTCTGGCTGAATGCAGGGATGTTGGTAAGGCTTTGGTCACTGGCTGGGTAGTAATGCGCGTATGATGGACGTGTGTAGGGCACTGATGCTCTCTTCTCCTCCTCGTAGCTCTTCTTGGCCGCTTGCTTCTCCTCGCTGGTCAGCTTGAGGTCCCGGCGGTCCATCAGTAAGGACTCATGGTGGAAAGGTTGCTGAGGGCAAGAGGAATAAAAGGGACAAAATGAGCTTATGATACTCAAAGTAAAATGAATTGTGTGTGTTCATTAGTATGGTTCTCAATACTGTCAAATCTTTTGTTTTTCTTAATACAGCATATACTTTAATTCCTTAAGCTCCAACAACCTATATGTGCGCATCCACACTTCAGATTATCAGTTTCATATGGGGAAGCACAGATAATCATAAATTACAAATATATCCTAAATAATTTGTAGTAGTTACTGAATAAAGAATAAACCTAGTGTTCAAAGGGTACAAAGTACTTGGTAACTGCTTTACGAAAAAAAAATATTTAGATAGTTATGACAGTTAGTGTTAGATGTGCATGCAGGAGCATTAGAGCGTTACCTTAGTGATGAGGTGGGGGTATCTCAGGCAGGCTTTCCTGATGACTGCCTCCATGTCTTCCTGTGGGCAGAGCAAGTAGGCAGACTCCGCAGGGTCTGGCTCCTCCTCCACAAAGTGCAACAGAGACTCTACCTCACGACGAGTGAAAGTTAGAACGGGGTTCAGGTCATCTATCACTCGGTCTGACAGAATAAGAGAGAAAATGAGATGGGTTAATATATATGCTGCTGTGCTGACTGGTAACAGTGTAAGCTCACTTTTCTTTTTTCACTCCCGACTCCCATTCTAAGAGGTAGATGCTATATGATTTTTAAATTGCACTGACCTTGACTCCTTATACTTTTATACTATTATTTTTCTTCTGTGCCTTATTTAGTTGGTTTGTATATGTAAGTATCCAGACAGCCATTCGTATCAGTGAATTCAGCTACTTGAAAGTGCACCCATTGCTAGTCCAGGCATACATAGCTTGTATAATCTCCATAGAAAAGCACTGCACATAGAATTAAATGCTCTGAAGCAGCCACACGAGTCTAAGGTTACCATGCCCAATGCTGAGGGGTATAAAGCACTAGGCTGTGGAGCAGTGGAACTGCATTCTCTGGAGGGATAGAGCTCGATTCAATGTGTTCGCATAAGTTTGAGTGGATTTTGTGATCAAGAACTAATCATCCCACATCAGTACCTGACCTCATTAATGCTCTTGTGGTTGAACACAATCAAATCCTCACAGCAGTGTTCCAACATCTAGTGTAAAGCATTCCCAGAAGAGTAGAGACTGTTACTGCAGCAAAGGAGGGATAAACTCCCTATGAATACCCTTCATTTCAGAAGAAATGTCGGATATGTATAGCAATTACAGTAATTACTTTATTATTACTTAATTATAATAACATATTGCTGTTGTTGGAAGATAACCTATCTCCAAAATGGCAACTTTACAGGAGTAGGAAAAAACATACTTTACTTTTAATGTAAGTCAATGGAACCAGACTTTTTCCCCCCCAAGTCATTTTGTCCCGTTTCTTTTGGTCAATTCAACATGAAATTTACACACAATGTAAAGGGCAACAGACATTTTCACATTATATCAAAAACTGAAAAACGGAGATACAAGGTTTTCTTCCGACAGCAGCGATATAGTAATTATAGACCTTGTGTGTTTATGAGTTCTGTCGTTCTGTACTCTCATGTAGATATAGGAGCAGCTACTGGTTCTCTCCAAGTGGCCTACTCTGCCTATCAGTAATGCTGAGTTCTGGAGAAGCAAGTGGAAGTTCCTCACATCCTCATTCATTACAAGAGGTAAGCTCATTCGAAACAAGGCAGTGGGGGTAAATGGAACATCTCCATAGAAGGGAATCTGCACCTGACTGCACCCTATTGGAGGTAATGATATAGAGGGGGCGACACACAGAGTTAACGACATTTCTTGGGAAAATGAACCTGAAATAAGATTCTCTGCACATTTTGTCTCTATAGGGGATTCAAATTAAGCATGAACAGCAGGAGGAGAGGAGTGAGAAAAGGAAACAAAGGAATATGCAGAATGAAATATGTGTATGCAAGATTAAAAGGCTACATCTATTTATGCAAGGAACAAATAAATATGTAGGCACCCAACAAATAGTGTGCCATGCATTAGCCCCCTAACCCCTTAAACTGCAGGAACATGTTGGTGGAACCAGACATCTCAAGAGTTTAATGCCCCTAAAAGCTACCAAACAGAAAGTTATTACATGAAACAGTTATGAATTTGCTGCCTGATGTCTGAGACATTGTTTAATGTTAGTTTTGCAATAAGCTTTTGGCCTAAAATGTATTTTGAAAAAATCTGTTCATGGCGAGGAGGTAAATGCACGGTGTTGTGAGGCAAAGTAGTCCACAAAGAAACCCCTTTTTTCTGATTTACTGCTATTTTACCATCAACATGATAACAACAGAGTTGGTTTCTCTACAGTAAATAATTTCACCTCAAAACAGCCAGAATGACTATGTTTATACTGCAATAATTGAATTCTTCAGCAATGTGGAAAAATCCCCTTTAAAGGATTAAAAAACAACAACATAACAGACACAACAGTCCAAAAAATACATGAAGACTGAAAACGTCCATATAACACCTACATGCAGTAATCTGCAAAGCAGTGTACATCAACTGTATGGCATACACCCACTGATTCCTTCACATAAGGCATTTTAATGCATCATCGTCACAGCCGTCACTGATTTCTCCACAGACAGCCAAAACATCAGCGTTACAGATTCCATTGTTTACAAACAAACATGCAAATCCTGTAAACCAATCACAGCTTAGAATGGGAGACTACATTATCCCCGAGTTGTGATTCTCACAACCTCACACCTTTAATTATAAGTTTGAAAGAGACTGGGGTCTTACCAGACATTCCTTGTTTGGAGATCTGTCTGTCGTAGATCTTCTTCTCCAAGGTGAAGTCGCACACTAGTCTGTAGATGTGGCACTGCTTGCGCTGTCCATAGCGATACACACGGCACACAGCCTGGGCGTCATGACATGGGTTCCATGAGGCGTCAAACACCACAACGCGATTTGCACCGATCAAGTTCACACCCAGACAGCCGGCCCTGGTGACATATTCATACAAATACAGCGTCGTAAGTGACAAAAGCATGGCGCAAATCTGTTTTAATCATTAAAAAAAGCTGGGCCACATATAGAATAGTCCACATATGTCATACCTTGTGGACAGCAGGAAAACCCAAGCCGAGCTGTTTGTTGGGTCGTTAAACTGGTTGATGAGCCTCTCTCGCTCTGAAGCTGAAGTGCTCCCATCCAGCCCTGAAAGGAGGGTTAGACAGGGTCACTACACAGCCCACACACCCAAACAACAATTACACAAGGTTGTGGTACTGTAGATGCGGTACTGTGTAAAAGTCTATGGCACCTGAGGACATTGTTTATAGAGAATTTGGTCGTGTGTTTTTGCCTGGAATACATATTATTAGAATATATGCAAATAAACATAAATGCAGTACAAATGAACAAGATTTTCTTATCTTTGAAATAGTAGTTGACATCTTGTGAGCTAGATAGTAGAAAAAGTTTGTTTCCAGACTTTGGATTTGTTAAATTCCCTCACCAACACACTTGATTTTGTACAATGAAGCATTAATTAGCCAAAACAGGTATTGGATAATAACCACAAATTTACAAAGCTGTAACGATGAGAGGTTTGGAAAGGGTTAAAAAAAAAACACAGTGATGTATATAAAATCACTACTTTTCAAATAAATGCCAACAGCTTTTTAACTGATAGTTCTATATGTACCTCAAGTTTTTGCACAGTACTTTATGTATAATGTACAAGTGTCATCTACAGTCACTTTATCAGGCCCACTTGCCATAAAGGTGAACTTTGTAGCTCTACAATTACAGATTATAGTCCTTCTGTTTCTCAGTGTAATTTGTTACATCCTTTTGTTACATGGTACTGGCATGTTATCGTGTGTGAGGATCACACACAGCAGTGATGCTGGAGTTTTTAAACTGCTGGGCTGGAAATAGTTCACCACCCAAAATAATCCAGCCAACAGCAGCAGTGTTAATGTCACTTTCACTGACATTAAAATATTTACAGTATAACAGCTAAATTCTGCTGCACTTTAAACACACCCTACCCTACTTAGGAACCAAACGGAAATGCCAGAGATGTGTGTAAGTGAATGAGTGAGCTACAAATGAGACTTCTCAGGTGCTTCCAACTACAAAGCCTGTGCGTCTTAAAGACCAGCAGATGGCGATAGTGAGAATAACATACACTGAGTTTAACTTAAAAAAGTAACCTGGTTGCCTTAAAATTTTGAGTTAATTGAACTTCTAATGGTAAGTTAAAGAACAACAATCTGTGCTTTACATTCTGTTAACTTATTTAAAGTTCACTGAACTCAAAATTTTAAGGAAGCCAGGTTACTTACTTTGATGAGTTAAAACATTGAATAGTGTTTTTACAGTGCAAAAATAATGGCAATATAAAGAATGCTTACTGTAGTAGTTGACATTGCGGACCCAGGTCTGTTTGAGTCCACATCCACTCTGGTCAGGCATCGGCCTCTTGGCCAGGAACTCTTCGATAACTGTTAGAGTGGACAAACTCTGGCTGCAGAGCATGTGTGGGTGTGTGTGTGTGTGTGTGTGTGTGGGTGGGAGAGAAAGAGAGAGAGAGAGAGATATGAAACAGGAAAATGATAACACAACACATGAAGCACAGAGATTACAATCTCGCTTTTTATGTTCCTTTTTGTGATATAGGTGTGTGTACATGCGTGTGTGTGTGTACCTGAAAACCAAGACTTTGTCTCCCTTCCTCACGCTTTCATCAATAATGTGAAACAGCAGCACCATTTTGGCTGAGTTCTCCAAGATGCCAGTCCTATAGCCTGCCATAATGTCTTTTGCCTGAGAAAAATATTTAAAAATCATCTCCATTTAGAATGACAGCATTAAATATCTATTTTCTCTGTTTTCAGCTTTTTTTTTGGTTGTTATTTATTCAGATATCAAAATTAGTCAGAATGCAACTAGTATCAAAAGCTTTTATTTATCCTGGGTTTACGTGATCAGGCAAGGACACTCAGTGTGTATTATCCCTCATATATACAATAACATAACCCTGTAAAATACAGAAGTTAGATGCATGAAACTTACCCACTCATATGTAATAACTTGATTGGCTTTCTCCTGTAGCTGACTCAGACTCAGTCCTCCCTCGCTATTGGCCGAATCGCAGGGCTTGCCCCTCGGATTAGTAGTTGAGCAGCGGGCACTGCTAGTGGTGATGTCATCCAGGTCCAGATCCTGCTCATTGGCCAGATTCTCCTTCTGAAGTGCCTCATACAGGACATCAGGATGATTCCAGATCTACACATGCAAGTTGCAACAACAAATAAGCATCAATGACATCTTCGAGCTAACATGCTCATAGTCAGCAACATTATCTCCCATCTCCTTGCATAAAACTCACCTTGCAGCAGATGCAGAAGGCTTTGAGTGGGTTAAGGCTAAGCCAGCCAGTATTGCCAGCCTCTCTGAAGCGGTTCATGAACTCGGTGTATAAAGCCCTCTGCAGAGCCGACAGACGCACCAGGATAACATGCTCCTGCTTCTCCGGCAGCTGAGAGCGCAGAACGTCATGTCCACGCCTTCAAAACAGTATGAACAGAGACACATATAGAAACCCTGTGTTAGCATATAACTCCAAAACAACAGTCTTTCTCTACATGACATCTCATAAGGGTTATTTAACGCCTTAGACCTGACTGGCCTATATATGGGCCCACATTTCAAAAGTATCACTCCATCTTATTTGCCTGTAATGTAGCAATGACAACCACAGCCACGACTTTATTCCAAGTAACAAGTCATCAACAAAGTTGTTAGGCCGGATGCCTTTAGGATAAACAAGCCAAAACAGATGAAGAGAAACGACTTTATGAGGTGGAGAAAAATTAGCTTCATAAGGATATTTCATCAGTTTCATATGGACATTGCAAGCCTGCTGGACATTTCAGTTAGTAGTACCATGCTTTCTGATGTGAGCTATTGATATTGCTTTTAAATGTGTTACACACATGTAAAGTGTGTTGCCAGTTCGCTCAAACTATTAGCTGATATATTTACAATATTTACAAAAAGAAAACTTCACAATTGCAATGTAAATGCAAAGCTATTTTTCCTCACAAGGTTTAAATACATTTACTTGTTAATGGGTTTTTTGTCAAACTTGTCTAAAAAAAAAAAAATCAATAATTGGTATAATTGGTGGTATAACAGTAATAATATACTCCAGGTTGTGCTATAGATATTACACAGTAATCCCTGAGAGATATTGGAACAGGTGCCTATAACCGCAGCACACCATTGCTAATATTTCTCTTGTATTTTTGTGTAATTCTATTATTTATGCAATCTAATGCAATTGCATAGCTTGCAAACAATCAGCACCAATCAACAACTCATTCAAGCAGTCCTCCACCTCCCTGCTCTAGTGTCATTAGTGTCAAGTTGTGCAACAATGTGATTATAATCTACATTTTTATCATTTGGATTTTTTTTGTGAAATAAACAACATTAGAAATATGACTTTTCATTACAAATTCCACAAATGCTTTTATCCACATTAGTTTTACAAATAAATAACATTAGCATTAGCTGTCTCATCTAATGACCCTTATTCTTATATTACAGTGGTAATTCTGTAGTTTTTATATTATAATTTTAATAGTTACTGAACAAAGCCTTACATTCAAAATGTGAATAATATGCAGTTTAAGGGGTTACGGAAATTAAATTTAAGTGGTGACTTTGTTATGGCTGTGTAATTCACTGAAAATTATGATGAATGTAATGTGTTATCATGGTCTAATGAATGTGCCAGGGCTATTATAATATTACTATAATATTTTTAGTATTAGATCAATATAAAGGTGACCAGCTTAATGAAATGACTGAAATATGCTTCAATACGATTCTCTACAATTCAGTGTAAAAATCCTTCACTGCCATCCTTTCTCACTGCCTTCACTGCCTCTCTCTCTCAAACTCACCTCTGAACAAAGCCTTCCAGCAGGCTGTGCAGCACGTGGCTGCGGTAGCGCATGAGCTGGATGTCCTGTTCCGTGCTGTCCACACACTGGCCGTTCAGGATGGGCCTCTCGAACATGTTGCTGAACTCCTGGCGTGTGCCCAGGAAGTCAGGCCGCACAAAGTCCACCATGCACCAGTACTCCAACAAGTTGTTCTGCAGCGGGTAGCCAGTCAGCACCACCCTGCGGCGTGTGCGGATGCCCTTCAGTGCCTGGGAAATGCTGGCATGGCAGTTCTTAATTCGGTGGCCCTCGTCGCAGATGACCACATCTGGACCAGGCTGAGAAAGGGCTGTCTCGATTCCTGGAGATGTTTGACAGAGAGAGAGAGAGAGAGAGAGAGAGAGAGAGAGAGAGATTGAATTCTCTCTTAATCCTTTAGTATTAAATTGGCTGTTTTATTTAATGTGCCTTTAAAACTGATATTTATAAAATTTATAGTTCTGTTCCAAAAATCTGAGCTGCTTTCGAAGCCATTCTAAAATAGCTTAATAGATAGAGCACCAAGTTACGAAATTCTGGCTTCTACACCCAAATAGTGCAGAGTTTGTCCAGAAGGGAACTGTGCATGTCCGGCTGAACACCAAATGACTATTTGTTAGACAAATTATTCACTTTTTGGGTGCAGAAGTTCCCACCTTTAATTGCTACCTAGTCTACTATGTAGAGAGTAAGGACTGGGAACTCTAGTGTGGGGAAAAGGAGTGCACAACATCGTTAGCTTGGTGTTTATTGAAGAAAGGAAATTGCACAGAAGTGCAAGTGGAAATAAGCATTGTCATCACAGTGTTAATTAAACATTTGCTATATTATGATATTTCCCTCATTATATGACAGAGTTAAAAACATATATAAAATGCTTGGCGACTGAATGTTCTTGTCCTCCTTTAGCAGTTATGGTTGCAACAATAACATGCGCCGAATAAACTACAGTTCTTAGTGGAAGAATTATGTATTGCAATTCAATTATTTATTGATAATTGTGTATTTTGTCATATTTTATGTTGTCTGTCGTTTTATTAAAGCAGTAAGCCACACAAGGCTGTGTCTTACTGTGATTTTATCAAGGATAAGGGAGTTTTAAGGCCCTTACCTGTGATAAAATCACTGTAACAGATGGCCTCTAGGTGCTTATTGCTTAAACCTACATGACCTCTTTCTGAATGGCTGCTTTGTATTGTGCCTCATTCCAAAAGTTGCTGCCCAGCAGCCAGGAACAGCCCATTGTTTGTTTTCCCCGCATCTTCCACTGTAACAATTCACCAACAGACTGTCTGCAGTAACAACACTACTTATCACTTCAGCTAGAAAGGGTGGACTAACCTGTCATAACCTGAGAATATGTAAAATGACATCACAACCATGAAGAATTCAAAACAAGTTAATTTCGTTCATCTATGTACTGACTGGCAAGTGAATATTACATTTTTAAAACTTAAGTACATTGCTAGTAGCCTTGACTCTGGTGTGATTCACCAGAAGAAAGATAAGAGAGAAAGAGAGAAAAAGTGAAAGAATTTTCTATGGAATAAATTATTTTTTTTCTATACTTTGAAAATAAAAGTATATGTGTCCAATAACCAGGAAACTTTACAAGCATTCAAATTCCAGGGTTCCTCAAGTAACAATTGACAGTCATCACTGACCTTTCAGCAGCTCTTGTTGGCGGTCCTCCTCATCCAGGTCGATGATGGCTGGCCCACTCGGCTTCTTGTTCTTCTTTTTTCGCCCGGCGACAAAGCTTTTCTTGAGTGAGAGCAGGCGGTACATTTCGTAACCCATTAGCAGCACACCGCCGTCTCTGTACCAGTCTTCAACCACCTTAGCACGAGTGGATGTGGTTCTTCACAGACACAGGGACAAAATATACATATTTCCTTTTTCTGTTGCCATTTTTTAGCTAAAAGGTTTTCTTTTGACTTGTCACAATGACAATATGGTGTTTGTTGACAGGCTTATTGATTTATGACACATAAAAACAGGGCTTGTTATCAGGTTAACTGACTGATTGAATGACTGATTGACTGAAAAACTGTTTGACTGAATGACTGACTGACTGACTGACTAACACCACACTACACACAGAGCTAATCTGGCTGCAAAATTAATCAAGCAAGGGGGGGACAAATTACCAAGGACATATAGCTTTTACTCAAAAAATGTGTAGCAATATAGATGTATCTGTTTTTATATAATGACTGTCTTTATATATTGCGCTCCAGTAACTACACTGCAATCCAGCACTGTGTTAATTATCCTAGCTATATCATAGCTGACTAAACATAATAATAATAATAATAATAATAATAATAATAATAATAATAATAATAAAGTTAACATATTAAAACATTTCAAGTTATTAAAGTTATATTTAATAATTGCATACCAACAACACTTTTAAATATGGACAGAAACTGTGATATTTCCATTCAGGGAAAAGTTTTGAACAACTCCAGTCAAATGACATATTTTGTTGATTTTCTAAGTGAAAGTATACATTCTCTACAGGGACCAAACTTAAATATGGCATTTATTCTGTAAGTTTTAGTGCACAATTTCTATTTAAAATAAAACATAAAATATATAATCATAACTTGCACTGGCAACATTTTATGTTTTATTTTCTTCCCCATATGTCAAATTCAGCAACAAACAGTTCATGGTGGAGAGGTACTTGCAGGATGTTATAAGGCAAAATAGTTCCCAAATAAAAACGTATGATTGTCAGATTTACCAGTATTTTACTCACTGAGGTTCACTGGGAAAAAAATGGTGATATTTGTATTGTAGTTCATGACTCCTGGTTCCTATCACCACCACTGTAAAGAAATCTGAGTCTGTAGGTTTAACTAAAGCAGAGCATTTCAAAACACTGTGAATGTCTTTGTTTACATCTCAATCATTGAATTATTATATCATTAACGTCGGGAAAAAAATAAACGTAAAATGTGGCCTGAGCTTAAGTTCAGCACATATTATATTGTATGTTTTTCCCTCAATATGTTAAACTCAGCAAATAAACAGAAGTTGTACAGTAAACCTTGCGGAAAATGCCATATTTAAGTTTGCTCTTATTTTCACTTAGAAAATCAACAAATCAAGTCATTCGATCTGGGGTGTTCAAACTTCTGCATGCTATAGCTGGTTACAGCAAGGCCTTAATGAAACATTTTGGTCAGTGTGCTCTAATGTGAGTGAATGAACATTTGTTTGTGTGTACATGCAGGAGAGGTCACTAGTTTAAGTGCAACACCTTGCTTGCTCGTCTCTTGTAATAAGAGGGGAGCATGTTGGAGTGTAGCAAAATAAAACGCGGTGCTTTTAAAGAGACAACATGGTGGATAAAGAGGGAGTGAGATCGAGGGAAAGAAGTGGGCCACAGAGCAGATGTGAGTGGGCAGGATAGCTCGCTCAGAGATATCAAACTGTGAAAAGTGAATCATCAAACATTAATCAACCCAGAGAGAGCCCTTATGCTCTTCGCTGTAGACATTTTTTTTTAAACAGAGGTACAGTGAGCCATCTCTGCTCTGTTTTGAAAACTGTGCCCAACTTTTCATTTTTTTAAGGGACAAAGTTAGTCATCGCTCTTTTCAGGGAGGCCCATATGTTAGCAGAGAATCCGCTGGGAGTACATTAGAGTGTACAAATTTATCAAGTTCTGAGCTATGGTCTCAGGAGAGCGATTATTAGCCCACAAGGAGCAATACGAAATGCTGCACAGGCTGTGGGCAATGAGAGCAGCTCCATTTTGGGTGTTACTTTGTTGAGATGAGTTTTTGAACTCAACGTAACAGTTCAATCTTGCTTTGCTTTCAGAGGACCATTATGTAAACACTCACAGACAAACAGTAGTAGCTGTTCGGGCCTACAAATACTTTGTATTAAAGCTAAGTTTACAACAAGTGATTGGCTCAAAAGAATGTATCTGGTTTTCCAGATGTAGTTGTTCAGCTAACACCCTATTTGAGCTGGATTAGCTTTACCAGAGGAGGTCCGGTAACTCGTGGGTAATTTGACTGGCTGATTCGTAAGGTGTAAAGGATCTGTGCAATTTCCCCATATTACCCCCAGATAGCCCAGATTTTTGTCAGCATTTTGTGCCATACTTCTGAACAATAACAGCACACTTTGGGGCTAAATGGCAAATAGACTTGCATTAGGCGAGTTAAGTGGGTTTATTCAACTTTCAAATGAGGCCCAAGAAGACAGAAAATGCACTGCTTTGAGAGAGGTACAGATACTGACTTATCCTTCTCCTTGTAATTCAACCATCATCAAAAATTTCAGTAGTCTTGTCATGAACATAAGGATTAACGAGTTAGGTCAAATGAAGCTGTCAGCCTTGTCTTCAGTTTGCAAATAAAAAGAAAATAAAATGAGCGCCATTTTCTATTACCCGGTTTTGTTATTTCATTACTGTTATGTCGATTCTAACCTACTATTACTTAGGGAACTCAGAGTTTGGCTAATTACAGAAGGTAATTCACTCCGGAGTTATTACTTAGCAGACTTGTAAACGCTACAGCTAAGATTAGTACTGGATTTAAGTCACAGATCTCCTCAGTAAATCACTCAAATTACAGCACTTCCCCAGGTAAAACTAATCTAGCTCGAATAGGGCTTAAGATATTTTGCCATTCAAATTCTGGCCCTTTAGTTTAGAGCTGGACCTACAAGACTAACATTGCAAACAAGCACTAGAAGTCAAGAGTTACCCAAATCTGAATACATGCCCAAAACTTCCCTCAACAGGCTCAGACCAGATCCACATCTTCATTAAGGTTGTGCAGACTTGTCAATGTGATTTACATCAGGATTTCTGAACCATTGAGCCGTGGACCACAAGTGGGCTGTGAATCACCCTCTGATGGTCCTTGGGTCTACACTGAGGAGGAGCAAGCAGTCCTAAATGGTCTGGAGATGGCTCTTTATATAATAAAAATCAGGAAAAAAATATTTAATAATAAGAAAGAAATATAAAATATTTTTAAATGGTAAACAATATTAACACAAGACTTGTGACAACAGCATACAGATCAGCTCTGTCTATTTATTGCCTCCCTTGACTGGTATAAAAATGGTTGCTTTACAGCACAATATGACTTACTGTGAACTGTAAAATTGCACATATAGATGGACGTTGCTGGCAGCTGTTTTAGACTACAGGGAAACTGTGCCAAATTCCACCTACTCTTCGTGTGCATTCATATCATGCAGGAATATGGACACTAATTAAAAGTTTAATCCTAAACTCTTGAATTGAAGATATAGGTTTAACAATAGAACCAACAAAAATTTCTAATGTTATACAGAATCCAGGACTGCTTGCCATGCATGCACATGAACAGGAGTCATATTCTGCGGAGAAGGCGGCACAACATTGACCGCAGTGTTCAGCTACACAGTGAAGCTTTATCCATTTTTACAGCTCGTAGTAAATGATGCTGTGTTCTAAAGCACATCGACAAGCCTGTGCAATCTTATGTAACGGACGCGGTTTGAGTGGATTGAGAAAAGTTTTCGATATGTATTTACAGAAGAAAAATGTGGGTGACTATTGACCTCAGTGCTAAACTAAAGAAGCAAAATTTGGACACCAAACATGTCTGAGCTGATTGACAACATCTGGGGTAAGATGAAATTGGTGCAAATTTGATTTGCTGCCAAACTATATCTTTAATTATTTTATTTTATTTATTTAATTTTATTGCCTGATAGTAAAATTAGTTGATCTGCAAGGGCCTGCATGATAGCCCACAGTTTAATTACTCACTCTTATTAATACATAACATGATTTCTATTAAGTCTACTAAGTCATTTATAATAATTACAAAAAATGAGTTTTAAGATTAATAATGGGATAATAAGCCTATAGTTTAAGGGGTTAATGGTGTTAATATGTAATAGATGCATTTACCTACAAATATATAACATCACAGCTAAATTTCCAGTATAATTAGCTTAATTAGTTAAGTTATATATAAGTCTGTGCTAATAAACTTCAATCTGTCTGAGGGTAAAGTAAATTAAAGGTGTCAATATGATCTTTGCAGCTTATGTGGGTGTTGATGGGGTTTTGAATATATGTATGTGCTGAAGGATGTTTCACTTGTGTTCCTCAATGAGGATATGCAGTTCGATTTCCAATGCTTGATGAGCTTAGTATATATTAAGCATGTAGTATTGAACTTTAATCCAGTTCAATGTCTACCAGTAAAGTGAATTAAAAGGTTTATATACTGTATGCATTATACAGTATATAAACACTGTAGGAATTATATTTGCAAATATAAATGGCAACTACGCTGCAAAAACAGTGTGATTTAAATTGTTTTTGTGATGTACAGCAGTTTAGGTTGGCTTTCAAGTTAAGGTCACAAGGAGTATTTCAGCCAAGACAGCTTTTTACATGCAGTACAACACAAGGCAGCCAATCAGAATAAGGTATTATTTACATTTATGCATCTTAAAGGCACAGTAACAAAAATAGCTTGTTTCATCCTAAGAGACAAAGAATGGAGGAGGTCAAAAATGAATTCTAACTGTTTGAGTATGTATACCAAGGCAAACATTGTAAGTGGACAAAAAAAAAATTATATTCATCAAATACAAGAAAAATATAGAATATGGGCCCTTTAATGATCTTTACAGCTTAAGCGTACATGTCTATGGGTCTATGCATGTATGTGTGTGCTGAGGGATGTTAATTTCACTCACTTGTGCTCGTCATTGAGGATGTGCACCTTAAAGGTGCGAGGCGTGATGTAGGCGGGGTCAGTGTCAGGGGGCAGGGCTTCAGGGGGTGGGACCCACAGGTTAAACTCTGCCAGCCAGTTCTGCAGCGTGTTTACCTGCAGCGAGCAATGCGAAGCAAGAATAAGGGAGAGAGGGAGAAAGGGGAACAAATGACCAAAAAAGAGGATCGACAGAGTGACAGAAGAAAAGAAGGAGAAAGAAAGAAATGAGAGAGGGAGAGGGTGAGAGATGGACAGAGGTCAGGCCATGTATATGTATATGCGATTATGTAAAATGCTACATATACACACACAATCATATAGACACGCTGGTACACACACACACACAAACAGGTACACACACACACACTCACAGGGACGATGGCGAGCACGGTGTGCGCTCCGGTGTGGCGCAGGAGGATGTCGATGAAGGAGATGACCTGTAGAGTTTTACCCAGGCCCATGCTGTGAGCCAGGATACAGCCGGACCCAGAACCACTCTGAAACCGCTCCAGAGTCTCCACCAGATTATCATACAGAAACCTTATTCCTCCAATCTAAGAGAGAGAGAGAGAGAGAGAGAGAGAGAGAGAGATGGAGAGGGAGAGTGACAGATGGAGAGGGAGAGAGAAAGAGAGAAGGAGAAAAAGAAGGGTGGGAAAGACAGGAGCAAGAGACAAAGGGAGGGAAAGAAAGAGAGAGAAGGGGCAGAAAGAGAAAGACAGACAGACAGATGACAGACAGAGAGAAAAATGTAAAGACAGAGATAAAGAAAGAGAGAAACAGAGAGATGGAGAGAAAGAGACAGAGAGGAAGACAGTAGAGAGACAGCATGAAAGAAAAGTTAGAGTAGAAGAAGTTTTAGAAAGGAAGGAGAAAGAATGAGGGATATAACGTGAGAATTTGAGGGTGGGTGGAGAGAGAGAGAGAGAGAAACCATAAGTTTGCAGTATTTATTGAATAGAACCTTAGTGTCTGTTGACCAATGTTTGTTGATAAGATTATCTTTGTTGTAGTAAGAAAACCTCAAAACTCCATTTTTCATTTGTTATTATTTTAGACCCTTTAAACAGAGCTAAACTGAAATACTTAAAAAAAAGATTTTACTCCAAAACATTTTAAGAATGATTCTATAGATACTGATGATGTGGTGTTTAACAGGTTGACTAATTGACTGACTGACAGACTGACTGACAGGTTGACTGACAGGTTGATGGATCACCTGGTGAGGTTTGACAGCGTGGGAGAGCTGAGGGGAGAGGTAGAGGTCATTTTCATCTGCCGGGTGATTGACGTTGATGAGGACACGCCCCTGAGCATCTGGTTGGTTGAGAGCATCGTTAACATGTGCTCCACTGCTTTCCCCAGTGGCCGCTGACTCCGTATCCTCATTGGTCGCTTCACTAATGATGTATGAGGCGGTGTTTTCACCTGAGCTTTGGTCTGTGACACACACGCACACGCGCACACACACACACACAGAAATGGTAAAGTTCTTATATTCCTTCATCATCCTCTATATATCTACAGTAAATGACTTAGAAAAACAGGCAAATCAAGTTTGTGTGTGTTTTTCAGTAACTGTGATTGTATTTGGTCTAAATATGAGTGTATATGCACAGAACTGTGCAAAGGTTTTAGCAGCTGGGAAAATTAAATTTAAAAAACTATTTATTTAGACAGTAAGTGTTTGCTCAGAAAAAACACTAAAATTACAAGAAATACAAATAGTATTACTACAATATGTAGTAATTTAATGTATGTTAATGTGTTTACTTAACCATTTCTAATGTATTTCTTGTGGTTATCATCCAATATTTGGGATAATCAGTGCTTCATGAATTAAAATCAGATGTGCTGGTGATGTGTAATGTAATCAATCTACGCCACGGCTGGGGGCATCCAGGAGAAATCAGAATTAAAACTTCTGTTTTTCTAACTACTCAAAAAATATCAATTACTTTTTCAAAACAAGTCATTCTTGTTACTTTTTAAAGCATTAATGTTTATTTGGATTTATTCTAATACTATGTGTTTTTATGAAGTGTTATACAGTGTTTTTATGTAGCATTTCTCAAGTATACATTTTTCAAGTTTGACATTTTGAACAATCCATAGTTCCAGCATAGAACCCAGCAGCCTGGGTGCTGTTGCTGTGAATCCAAGGCTGTAGCTCTCACATTCAAATACAGCTTTTAATTGGCAAGTTTCATTGCTATCTCGCTTGATAAGAATGAAATTTCCAGCTTGTGCCATGGTTAACTTATTTAACACAGAAGGATGCTAAAGTCTAAAGTAAGTAAAACACAGTGCTGAACACTAGCACTACCTTCAGGAGACAATGATGGACAGTGCTCAAGGGAGATCTATGAATAAAACAACAAGACGTAACATGGCGGTATTTGAGCTAGAGGCTACAACTGCAAACGAGTTGAAACATGCAGCCACTGTTGCTCTCTCTCTCTCTCTCTCTATATATATATATATATATATACACACACATACACACACTTATGAGTTACCTTGAAGACAGGTGTGGAAAAGGTTAAATGAACACACTGACATTATGTAAAATCACTATTTATTGTATTATTGGTATTTATTCTAATAATAGTGTTTTCATGAGAAAATAAATGCTTACTGCCCAGTCATTCAGGATGTCAGATATAAATATATACCCAAGGAATAATAAGTTACACAAGTGTGCATTTGTTGAGATGGAGAGGGGGAAGTGGAGAGAGATAAATGTGTGTGTGTGTTGTGTAAGTGGGTGAATGGTGCTTACACAAGCTGGATTTAACAGTGAGGAGAGGCTTATGTAACCTAGGCAGAGATGTCAATGCTGAAGGCTGGCGCACAACCAGCGGCAGACACACCTCTGCTCCACAGACCCAGTTTTGAACGAACACACACACACACACACACACTGTCAAATATCTAATCTGATCTGAAATCTGACTTTGCCAAGTATGCCGTTCATTGTGTGTGTGTGTGTTTGTGTATTTGTGTGTGTGAAAGAGAGAGGGAGAATGTTCGAGAGTGTGTGTGTGTGTGTGTGTGTGTGTATTTGTGTGTGTGAAAGAGAGAGGGAGAATGTTCGAGAGTGTGTGTGTGTGTGTGTGTATGAAAGAGAGAGAGAGAGAGAGAGAATGTTCGAGAGTGTGTGTGTGTGTGTGTGTGTGTGTGTGTGTGTGTGTGTGTGTATGAAAGAGAGAGAGAGAGAGAGAATGTTCGAGTGTGTGTGTGTTCAGGGAACAGCACGTCCAGTACCTTCCATGACTTAGTCACCACGGCACCTCAATTTCTGTCCAACTTTAATCTGTGTGTGTGTGTGTGTGTGTGTGTGTGTGTCAGGGTCTTACAGCAGTCTTTTATATAAATCAGCTGACTCAAATGTTAATGTCTTTGATTTTAATCCTCCTAGCTAAACCCTCACATCAGAGATATTCACAAGTCACTTATTACAAAAGTGAGTCGATCATATGATCATATGACATTATAATGTCAAGTTTCATAAAGCATTATAATATCTGTTCATGAGACTATTGTAAACACAAAAGTTGTAATGCATTATAACACTCTATAACAAGGTTCTTGTCGTATTCTTGTTCTAGGCTGCAGGGACTGTACAAAAGTAAACACCTACTAAAACCTGTCAGGTTCAGCATGGCTTCAAATAAAGGGCCTTTGATCATAGAAAAACTTGGGTACCAATTCGGTAGAATGATCCATAAATGGGTGTGTATGTGAGTGTGGGTCTCACCTCTTTTAAGGGCAGCTGTTGCTTTAGTGCTGTCTGTGGCACTGCTGGTGCTTGTCTCCACACATACTGCGCTGTGCTTGGCCTCGCACTGAGCCGCACTCACACACACATTAGCTGGAGAAACATTAAACGTGATTCATTACTTTCATGACTTTTACCACAACAGGTACAGTATTACATGATTTCAGTGTAGGTGATATGAACCCAAATTTACATCTCAAAAATGTCCAATCTGCAGACAATAACGATACCATTTCACGATAAAGAAAATGAACATATTTCTAAAAATATCCAGACACCCCTTCTAATTAGTGCATTCAGTTACTTTAATGGGCACCCGCTGCTGACACAGCTTGCACAGCAGTCTGCAAGCATTGCCAATGCAATAGGATGCTCAATTCCCAACACCAAGCGTCAGCTAGGGGAGTATAAAGCTAATTTCTATTGATAAATGGACCAATAGAACTGCTTGGAGTATAAAATATTATAAAAAAACTAGAATATAAACACATTACATGCAATATTCCTATTTTTTGACTATTTGTGGATCAGCATTTTTGGACTTATAATGGTATCCACAATATGGTAAAATCTGCACCATGAGACAACATAGAGATCTTCATGTGTATAACAGAATACCTCCAACCTACTTCAGAGACATACAATAAACAAATATATTAAAAATACATTGGAAAATCTAGTTATATTGTGGAATATGCTAATAATACATAATAATATATTTCATTTCTTTTTGGGCAACACATAACTTTCTAGTGTATCTGTGTGTTTCTCACTGGTTGTGTGCACTGTGTGTGCTTATTAGTAACCTGCTGTGTGTGTGTACTCGGGCTGAGGGGCTACAGTGAAGTCTTTCCTCTGATGCTCCAGGCGCTTGCGTCTCTCCACCTCCTCCAGTTGGGCCACTTTGGTCACTGCATCCAACTGGTGCTCTTTCAACAGTTTCCTACAGAGAGAGAGGGAGAAAGAGAGAGAGAGAGAGAGAGAGAAAAAGAAAGGGAGGGTGAGAGACAGGGAAGGTGGGGGAGTAAGAGAGGTTCTAACCTATTTGGCAGCCAGTCAGAAACACTGCCCTGTGTGGACTTCTGGGTCTGACTCATTAATGTATCAAACACATAAACACACACACACACTCACATTAAACAGCCACTAAAGTCTTCCTGGAAAGAGGTCTGTTCCTTGCAACTCTATTTTATGTTAAGTCATGAAAGGCAATTGTTTCCATGCTAATTGGTGATGTGGCTGACTCCCACTGTCACTTCAGCAATGATGAAAGACTAATCCATACATTCATGTTTCCACACGTTCGAGACATTTTTCCATTTATACGCACAACAATAACAATGAAGACTGCATGCATAACGATAGCCTTCATCATATTCAAATTATGATGAAATAGGTACAAACATGAAAGTGTTGTTGAGTATTGGTTGAAAGTTTGTACTTTTGTCAGAATATCTCCAGTTGTTTCAATGAGCTACGCATGAGACATTATGAGCAGAAACTACAACATGCTTTTGTTATCTCTGGCATGATAACTATGATTCTGACTAGTTTTTGCAGACACAGGCATAAGGATGCCACAGATTACAATTTCTATTGTTTCTTTGTATAAAAATAACTGTTAATCCTGAATTCTCCATCTTAAGATATGTTTATTAATAGTAACAATACATAATCTAGCATTCACATGTTCCTGAGACGTGTATGAATGTGAAGGGGAGACTGTTACGATACAAGCTTTTATCAAGAGAAACAACAAAATACCCCTTGAGGGTATTTATGTTTGTATATAGAACTATTTTCTTTACTAAAATACCCTTGAAGAACCATCTTTTTTAAAGAGTGCTAGGTAGCTTTAACTGATTTTTAGCCTTTTTGGGATGAAGTCTTCCTTTAGAGTATATGTAGACGTACCTGATGTTCCTCCTCATGTAAGCGGGTTTGGAGCTCCTCTTCTTGGTGGCGCTGAGGGCCAGAGCGGGGCTGCGGTTGTCCGGGCGGGACAGGGGGTGAGCGGGCGGGCGGCCCGGGGTCTCGCCTGAGGGAGAGGTAGAGGGGAGCGCACAGGGCCATCCTGAAGAGTCACCGCCTTGAGCCTCGTTCTCAGAGCTAAAGGAAGCACTCTGGCCCTGATCTGCAGGGGGGAGGCAAGTACAGTAGTACAGTATGACTCTTCAAAGACCACATACAAAGCAGGCTGAGGCCTTGACACACTACATTCAAGATACAGATCAGCTGGATTAGCAGCCAATCAAGAGTCAAGAGAATCAAGAAAATCTTTATTGGCATCCAATCCCATTTCAAAGTGTACAGTGGAATGAAACTCCAGGACCTCATAAACACATCGACTGTGCCAACCCTGGTCTTGGAGGCTCACTGCTCTGCACATTGTAGTGCTTTCCCTGCTTTCACCTACCCACTTCAATTCCGTAAGAGGTTATTAATGAGCTATTTAGTTGGATCAGGCTAGCTGGGAGCAGGGGAAACACTGCTCTGTCTGATCCACTCATACCAGCGCAACACACAATAACATGCCTCCACTTTGTCAGTGCCACTGCCGTGCTGAGAATGATCCACCGCCTAAATAATACCTGCTCTGTATTGGTCCTGTGGGGGTCCTGACCATTGAAGAACAGGGTAAAAGGGGGCTAACAAAGTATTTAGAGAAACAGATGGACTACAGTTTGTAACTGTAAAACCACAGAATGCTTCTATATGGTAAGTAAAGCTGATAAAATGGGTAATGAGTGTAGAAACAAGGAGATGGTTTTAATATTTTTTAATGGCTGATCGGTGAAGATAAAAAAACAAGACTTAGTATCTCAAAGTAATAGTTATGTATCTCAACATAATGAAACAGTATCTCAAAAATAATGACTTACTTTCACAAAATATTTTATATTATACACAAAATAATATTGATTTATTATCACAAAATAATGACTTAATATCACAAAATAATGGCATAGCAATTTTTAGGTGCTGGATTTTTAATGTGAAGAATTTAAAGTATTTTCTTTACTTATTTTAAACTCTGGATGTGAGTTGACAGCAGTAATTAGTTTCTCCTTCATTGTTTTCAAAACCAATGTAACTGAGCGAAACACCCCCCACATATATCAGTCGATTATTAAACATCTGAATACATATCAACTACTTGAAAAAAATTTAAATATCTTTCAACATCAACTGAACATGGCAGCTGCTCTTTACATTGTGTGGACATTTCATGATGAATGGACCAATGGAAATCCTCCATAATTGCTTGGGATAAAATCACTTTATGTTACCTTGCATTTAAATTAAAGAAGGTTTTTACCTTCTCCTGTAAAGTTGCCATTTTGGAGATTTTTTTTCGACAGCGATGATATTCAAGGGCCTTGATTTCAGTATGGGTAAGTGCAATTTTCACACACTGTTTTCTTTGAAACAGGCAGCTGAACCAAGAATTCACAAGATAAAGCTTCTGGTCTTTATTTTCACTTAACTGCTGTTACTGCATCACTGTGCTTTGCTATTATATAACACAATACAATACATACACAGCCAAGCAACAAGTAACAGCAATAAACTCAATACTATAAACACACAGCACCAGAAAGCAGGAGACAGACAGTACAATGTATAAGAATGTGAGTGGTCCACAAGAGCATGAGTATGTACTGAAAGACTGGCAGAGCATCAGTGCACAGTCTTCTAGACACGGATCCGGCCTCCGCCAGGACACAGCTGAGACACACTGAACCCAATCAGCATGTTATGCAAGCACTCATAAATATCCAATGCTTATGAAACTGACCAGCACACAGTCATGAAGCCAAACACACACAGGCACTGGCCGGAAAAACATGGAAGCTGCACCACTGATAGAGACAAACACTTGTTTCAAAATTGAAACATGGGGCAAAACACAAACTCGCCCTTCTACTTATTCCCTCTCTGCTTTTTTTCAATCCACTCAAATCCACCTGTTCTCTTCTCTGTTCTCACTCTTTCTCTCTTGTTTTCAACCCTTTCCACTCTGTTCTCAACATGTTAAAAGCTGTCTTTTCTGAACATCAGGTTCAGCACACACGCACACACACAAACACAGAGTGGGAAGATGAATTATTTATATAATGCACGGGGGTTGATGATCCACAAGTCTGAAAACAAATTACATAAACCGCCCCTCTGAAGCAATCTGCTAATGACTGCCCTACTCTCTCTGACATGACTTTCTAGTTCTCATCCTCAGTGTGTATCTGTGAGTGTGAATGTGTGTGTGAGACAGAGACAAACAGAGGGAGAGAAAGAGATGCATTATATACTGTAAAGAGGATTAGATATAGTTTATATGCTACAAGTATATAAGTACGCTATATACTAGAGCCTAGTTATATAATCAGAAATTACTTTAATGTAAGTTGATGTAATTACATTGTATTCCAAAGTCATTTGTGGACTACCTCAATCAGTAAATGTTCAAACTATGTAAAGGGAATTTCAAATAATGTTTGATGGGTCAGCAATATCATATATAGACAGTACTGCTCAGAAATCAGAGCTTGACCTTCATTTATTTAATACATAAAACATATATTTAACAGAAAATCACCCAGAAGCCCCAACAACTAAGTATAATATATACAGTTTTTCATTATTCAGAGTGTCAACCCTTTGCCTTTATTACATTTTGCATTCTTTTTTGGGAAATTTTCTCAAAGATATCTGCAAGGATATTCCAGAGTTCAGTCTTAGAAGCTGGTTACACAATTAAACTAATCTCAAGCACTTTTAATGTTGAGGTTTGGACTCTGGAGTGAGCACCAGCAGCTTCTTTGTTCGATTTGCACAGTTTCTCCTTGATATCCTTTCATGATCTTTACAAAAGTTACAGGTTTCATTTTTTTGTCAGTGAGGTTAAGGTTAGGGTTAGGGCTGGGGTAAAGACCTCACACACTGATATGGCAGAAAATTAAACTTGTGTGTGTGTGTACATGTCTGTGTGTTGGGACTAGACCTACAATTCCACTTAGTCCTGAGTCATCTCCCCAAAACTCCAGCCAGTCTGAACTGCGCCTGTATGGAGTAATCTGAGATGTACTGATAGTCTGGAATGAATAAAAGTTCGAAGGATGAAGAAGAAAGAAATGAACAGGGTTACGATCCACCTATCACTCCTTTCACCTCCCCAGCCAACTTAAAGAAAAAAAAATGCTTGCATAACGATTCCTGAAACCCAGACACACACACACACACATACTTGCTGTCTAAAATGGGTGAGATGGGTGAAAATGACCCCCTACTCCTTCCTCCTTCCTTTATTCTTCTCTCCTCCTCTCCCCCTCCCTCCTTCCGATCCAGAAATATCTTTCAGCCTCAGTATGAAGACGTGACCCTTATGCAACCAGCCGTTCACGCTCAAACACGGTGCTGACCCAACTTCTCCTCCTCTACCCCTCCATCTCTTGCTCCTCCACCTCTCCGATTCGCTTTCCACCATCTGTCCATCCCCATTCCTCCACCTCTTCTTTTTTTTCTAATGAATATCGTTCTCTCTCCCCCTGTTGCTTTTTTTGGAACACAGGAGAGCATCAAATCACCAGCGGTCACTAAAGCTAAGTACGTTTAGAAAAGTTATTTTTTTCGGTCTCTTCTTGTTTATCCTGCCCTAAGCATGATATAATCCTGACCTGCTGCCTCAAGCATGATATAATCCTGACGTGTTGTTAATGATTACATTCATTTGTCTCAGAGAATGGGTCATAATGCCACAGACAGATATGATTTTTCTTACGATGACAAGCATTACATAACAAAATTATGAATCATGTTAAGTCATCAGATGATTAGAATTTGATTCCCAGATTTTCATGGAGGATTTTTTTTATTGATGTGAATAAATTACGAGCGTAACCTCGGCCAATTTATGTAACGTAGCTGTAAAAGATCACGCTGACCGTGGCTACAAGCCACAGGTCATTCTGAAGGACGACTGCCGCGTTCATAAGAACTTACATAAAACGAGACCTTTTTTTTGAAAATTAAATGACTTTATGAAAATGAAATGGATGAAAATTGTATATTTAGGCAGACGTGCATAACAAAAACTGCCATAATGATTAATTATTTGATGAGAAATTAGTTTATTTCATTGGACATATGTGTTTGTTTGTGGTGCTTGAAACAAAGAATTGATGACCTGAGGTGGGTACTTTACATTTACTCTGTTATATGTACCTAAGAAGAATTTTGCTGGGTTTTGCTATAGTTCTGTAAGTTACTCAGTACCTGAAGGGGGAATTATACCAGTGTTTCAAAAGTTCTCAGTAGTTCATTTGAAATAGTTTATTGTAGAGAAACTTACCGAGTGATTTCTTTACAGTTGTGCAACCAGAGGTTGTGATGTCTACAATACAAATTTTGTCATTTTATTTACTATGTAAACTGACCCATGAGCCTAGATGTGTCTTCTGAGTTTATATGTTAATGATGATAAAATGGTGGCAAATCTGAAAAAAATATTTTTTGGAGACTTTGTTACCTCACACCACTTTTCACATACCCCTCTGCCATGAATCCATTTATTTAAAAAAACATTATCTCAAAAGTGTTAAAATTGATGTAAAACAATGTCTCAGGCATCATTCAGCATCTTCATAACCATTTAATGTAATCATTTTCTGTAAGGTAGCTTTAAAAAGCATCAACATTTTGGATGTCTGGTTCCTTTCACCACCACTGTAAACAATTTTGACTCTAAATTTGTCACATTTCACATTAAACCACTCTGAATGACTTTGTTTACATCTTAACAGTGAAATTCTGGGCAAATTTTGAAAAATCTGAATTCCTCTTTAAGCGGATTTTTGAGCTGCCACATTGGTGTTACTACTAACGCTATTTTGTGGAAAGATGCTTTTATTTCAGTAATTATTTCACAGAAGTGAGTACAGGTTTAGACCTCTGTTGATGATTGAAGGTGGACAAGTCCTCACCGTTTCATCAGAGAGATAGGAGACACAGTTACGCAACAATGCATTACATAATGGACAGAGATCTATTCAGTACCACAGAGACTGGAAACTAAAAACCCCTCAAAACCTTTGACTCTCTCACACTCTCGCTCTCACTTTCTTTCTCTCTGTTTTT